ATGAGTTAGCCCGCAGGACTTGTGTAGTGTTGTATAGCCCAACGTACCCGGGATTTGGCCAAGAGGAGTTACGAGACGACAGTAGTGTTCGTCTGCCGAGAAGTACTGCTAGTGTGTTGCTAGAGACTTCTGCCAGGGTGTCAGCTACCCCAGTATATGATTATTTGTGACCCCTGTCAGTGTGTTGCTGAAGCCCTCTGCCAGTGTGTTTCTGAAGAGCAGATGTCAGGTATTGGGACATTGTGATGATACAATGTGTGGATTGGCCCATGTTGAGGAAGGTGAACTCGCTGGTGATTACCATCGAGTGTGAATGACGTGTACTTGAAGATAGTGCACTCACCAGGATTTGAAGAACACTGCAGATCTACTGAATGTCCTGGGTGAAAGCAACACAATGTATAAATGTGTACTTATACTCCTATATATAATATATTGGTGAAGGTGCAATTGCATATAGTATATCCCTTGAACTGTTATTTGCTACTGCCAATTCTTCAGAACTTACCATTGACATGGGGCAGGATCATAGAGGCTATAAGGCACATTAACAGAAAGAACCTGGTTACTGGCTTAAGCTGGCCGTAACAGTCTGCTACGCAGGAAGGCTCTGGAATCTCGTAGCGCAGCCAGTAAGGCAAGAAGACACAAATTTGAAAGAAGCAGGGCTGGTACAAGCCATAAACAACGATGTCTTTATGCGAGACAAAACAGAAAGAGTTTCTGGAACCAACTAGAAATTAAAATATTCAAGATTTGGTCATCACAAACAATGAAGACAATCAGGTATATTACGATCTCAGATACCACATACTCAGATCACAAGCTAATTGAAGTGCAAACTATCATCAATACTCAAAATAGACATAAAACAATGATCAAGCGAGAGGGGTTATTCAGTAAATTAAATGTTAATAATACAATAAAAGGATAGACTGGGAGAAAATAAACAGGGAATTTACAAACATTCCTTGGCAAACTGTTCCAAGTAATAAAAATCCTAGAGAAAGAATACAAAAACTGAACAAATCCACAAGGGCCGTGACGAGGATTCGAACCTGCGTCCGGGAGCATCCCAGACACTGCCTTAATCGACTGAGCTACGACAGGGTTAAAAGGGTTGAAACCGAAGTTCTACTGAACTTACTGGATCCCGTAGCCTCTCTGAGGCACAAACCAGCCTTTTACACAACCCCCCCCCCTGCACCCGAGCTATGTCAATAGGCCGGCCGTTGACATAGCTCGGGTGCAGGGGGGGGAGGGTTGTGTAAAAGCCTGGTTTGTGCCTCGGAGAGACTACGGGATCCAGTAAGTTCAGTAGAACTTCGGTTTCAACCCTTTTAACCCTGTTGTAGCTCAGTCGATTAAGGCAGTGTCTGGGATGTTCCCGGACGCAGGTTCGAATCCTCGTCACGACCCTTGTGGATTTGTTCATTTGATGCATTACGTTAGTGTGATCTCTATGTGTAATAGAAAAACTGACTTTGGAAGCATATAAGGTCTGTCTGAAACATGTTCCTTAGAGGAAAGCCAGAAATAGGTCCAACATAGAAAAATAATGCAGACGACACTATACGTAAGTAATTATCAATACAGTAGAAGGCACCAAACCGGGAAGGCTATGTAGCACCATGACGACACTATAAAAGAAGGGAAAAAAGAATGGAAATACTTAGGCAGACACGACTTTCCATACAAAGAAAGAATAATTTAAACGGAGATTGAAGAAATTGTGCAGAAACTGAAACACTCATATTAGATTGTAGAAAGGCAACTAAAACACAAAGCAATTCAAGAAATAAAGAAAAATACAAAATATTTCTTCATATTTTTTAAATCAAAAGCAAAAACCACTGCCAGTATTGGACCTTTTCATACGAGTGAAGGTTCATACACTGAGGATGACAAAGAAATTAGTGAAATCCTAAAAAAGCAGTATAAGGACATGTTTAGCACCCCGATACACAGCATGAAAGTGGAAGATCCAGACAGCTTCTTTATGCGTGATATCCAAACCCTCTAAATATAACTGATATAAACATGAGCATGGCAGATTTTGAAAGGGAAATTGACAACATGCCATGCACTCAACTCCGGGTCCAGATTCATGGAATTCAGTAACTATAAAGAAATGCTAGGTGCCAGTAGCACAGGCACTCAGTATAGTGTAGAGGAAGAGCTTGGATACGGGAGATACCAGATGCCTTCCTCTCTTTTCTTAAATCTGCAGACAGCCCCTTCTACACAAGCTTACAAGCTACACAAGCTCCCCTGAAGCCCATATCAAGAGGATAACATCAGCAGCATATGCCAGGTTGGCTAACATAAGAATGGCATTTACACTTGTGCAAGGAATTGTTCAGAATTTGTATACCACATGTGTCAGGCCAATCCTGGAGTATGCAGCCCCAGCATGGAGTCCACATCTAGTCAAGCATAAGACCAAACTGGAAAAAGTTCAAAGGTTTGCTACCAGACTAGTACCCGAGCTGAGAGGTATGAGCTACGAGGAGAGACTACGGGAATTAAACCTCACGTCGCTAGAAGACAGAAGAGGTATGGGGGACATCACCACTATGATCACCATGATTAATGTGATAAGGTAGATAAAGACAGGCTATTTAACCCGAGGGGCACACACACACAAGGGGACACAGGTGGAAACTGAGTGCCCAAATGAGCCACAGATATATTAGAAAGAACTTTTTTAGTGTCAGAGTGGTTGACAAATGGAATGCATTAGGAAGTGATGTGGTGGAGGCTGACTCCATACACAGTTTCAAGTGTAGATATGATAGAGCCCAATAGGCTCAGGAACCTGTACACCAGTTGAATGACAGTTGAGAGGCGGGACCAAAGAGCCAGAGCTCAACCCCCGCAAGCACAAATAGGTGAGTACAAGGGAGGGAGCAAAACATTGGCAAACAATTATAGACCAGTTGCTTTTACACAACCCCCCCCCTGCGCCCGAGTGAAGCCCATATCAAGAGGATAACATCAGCAGCATATGCCAGGTTGGCTAACATAAGAATGGCATTTACACTTGTGCAAGGAATTGTTCAGAATTTGTATACCACATGTGTCAGGCCAATCCTGGAGTATGCAGCCCCAGCATGGAGTCCACATCTAGTCAAGCATAAGACCAAACTGGAAAAAGTTCAAAGGTTTGCTACCAGACTAGTACCCGAGCTGAGAGGTATGAGCTACGAGGAGAGACTACGGGAATTAAACCTCACGTCGCTAGAAGACAGAAGAGGTATGGGGGACATCACCACTATGATCACCATGATTAATGTGATAAGGTAGATAAAGACAGGCTATTTAACCCGAGGGGCACACACACACAAGGGGACACAGGTGGAAACTGAGTGCCCAAATGAGCCACAGATATATTAGAAAGAACTTTTTTAGTGTCAGAGTGGTTGACAAATGGAATGCATTAGGAAGTGATGTGGTGGAGGCTGACTCCATACACAGTTTCAAGTGTAGATATGATAGAGCCCAATAGGCTCAGGAACCTGTACACCAGTTGAATGACAGTTGAGAGGCGGGACCAAAGAGCCAGAGCTCAACCCCCGCAAGCACAAATAGGTGAGTACAAGGGAGGGAGCAAAACATTGGCAAACAATTATAGACCAGTTGCACTAACATTCTACATAACAGAAGTATTTGAGTGATCAGGAGCCAGGTTACCAGTTTCATGGAGGCGATGAGTCACAATAAACGTGGCTGAAGTATGTTGACCGTCCTGGACCATTCTCAAGTTGATTGTCACACAATCGACTTGAGAATGGTCCAGGACGGACCGAAACGTCATCGTCCCTTCACTTTCTAGTGTGTGGTCTGGTCAACAGTTTCATGGAGACCAATGACCTCCACAACCTAGGCCAAAAGGGATTTACAGCGGGAAGATTGTGCCACTCACAGTTACTTGACCATTACAACAAAGTCACTGAGGCATTAGAAGAAACACAGAATGCAGATGTGGTATACACGGACTTCGCAAAGGCATTCGATTAATGTGACCATGGAGTGATAGCACACAAAGTGAGATTAATGGGAATAACCAGGGGTTTTCTGTCAAACAGAACACAGTAACAGTCAGCCATATAAAATTGAGTCCAAACACAGTTAAAAGCTCTGTATCTCAGGGTACAGTCCTTGCACCACTGCTTTTCCTTATTCTCATATCAGATATAGACAAAAATACAAGTCACAGCTTCATATCATCCTTTGCAGATGACACAAAAATCAGCATGAAAATTACCTCTGCTGAGGATATTGAAAAACTTCAAGCAGATATTAATAGTTTTTGATTGGGCATCAGAAAATAACATGATGTTTAACAGTGATAAATTCCAGGTAATCAGGTACAGTAAAAATGAGGACCTTAAACGTAATACAGGGTACAAAACAATTAAATTTGCAAATAGTAGGAAAGCAGCATGTAAAGTATTTGGGAATAACAATGTAAGTATTTATGGGGGATTAGTTGATCATTACAGGTTTGATTAGTCAAGTATCCATAAAGAAATAATCGAGCAGAAAAATATATTACAAATTAGTTCAAAATTTAACTGCCCCAAATTTGGAACAGCACTTTGTTGACCAGACCACACACTAGGAGTTGAAGGGACGACGTGCCACTCACAGCTACTTGACCATTACAACAAAGTCACTCAGGCATTAGAAAACACACACAATGCAGATGTGGTATACATGAACTTCGCAAAGGCATTCGATTAATGTGACCATGGAGTGATAGCACACAAAGTGAGATTAATGGGAATAACCGGGTCTTCAACTTCTAGTGTGTGGTCTGGTCAACATACTTCAGCCACGTTATTGTGACTCATTGCCTGCATTTGGAATAGCACTGTACTGTAATTTAGGATATGCATATAATTTTTCAATGCATCTTCCTTATTAGATGAACAATTCTGCAAATTGAATGCTACAGGTTATATTACACATGACAATAATAAACTGAAAGTATTTACACTTGGAGCTGGTGCAGGTTTTCGAGGTTTCCTTCCTCTCCTTTCTAATGCTGGGGTTGTGGTGTCTGCATCTGATGCACTTGTATCCCTTAATGTGCTCTACAAGAAATAAAATAATCCAGATTACTGTTAACAAAGATAAAGGTAGTAGTGTACAAATTAATGACAAAGCAGATATGCTTAGAAACAAAATCATTCATAACTTTTTAATAAGCAATTGTGTTCATTAAGGTAGTATATTCCACCAACTTCTATTGATTTCTTCAAAATGTAAGCATTTTACATCCGAGCCGTCTGTCGAAACTGCTTAGGGTGAGATGGCAGGACACAGTGCCAGATACGTACAAACTTTCTTGCACAGGCTGGCATGACAAGCATCCACACCAAGCTTTATAAGGCACAGCTCAGATGTTGACAGCTCAAGTAGGTCATGTGTGTATGAGGTATGACCAATGAACAACTGCTCAAGATGATCTATGATGAACTAAAACAGAGAAAATCGACTCTTGGATGATAAAAGAGAAGAACGCCCTCAAGGCTTCACTCAAGAATTGCAGCACTCTCAAGACTGGGAGTGCATCACTGAGAATTGTTCTACCTAGGACACACACGTTCATGCTGGTGAACTTGTTTGAACTTGAACTTGAAGCAGACTACAAACAAGAGAGACTCAATGATGCTGCAGAGAAACAATCTCTTCACAAGTCCAGGGACAGTGGCTCCCCCTTGTCAGGAGCACACACTTCCATGTCCCCACTGCAACTGGAAATTCTGGGCTAGGATTGGACTAATCAGCCATCTCCAAACCCACTACCAGAGAAACTAATGGCAATGAGTGTTCTTCATCTTTGATGGATGAATATCATATTCCTAATAAATTTAACAAAATACTCAATATCCCACAGTACAGTACCATACCCAAGTACCTGGAATTTATCACGGTTAAACAGCATGATATTTTCTGCTGCCTAATCAAAACTTTATTAGTACCAGCTTGTAGTTTTCAGCATCATCTACGAAAGCAATTTTCATGCTGATTTTTGTGTTTTTGTGGCAGTCTTCAACAGCCTAATGTATTTTCCTGCCTGACAGCACATCCTGTGTCAAAAGACATGGCCACATCTTATACGGGAGAGCAGCCAGATGTAGAGCTCAGGAAGTGGACTCTGTGGTCTCTAGAATGCATATCTAGTTCCCAAAAATTCACAACAGAGTGGCTAACTCTAGTACTAATTTTAATATTGACTCAACTGGATTTATTTTTATTCATGAAACGTTTAATAAATTTCTTCACATCTCCCTAACCAAATTAGCTTAAACTCGTGTGACAATTCACAGTAAAATAATAAATTAAGATTCTTACACTTGGAGTGACAGCCAGTTTAAGTGGTTTCCTTCCTCTTTTTCCTAGCGCCGGGGTTCTGCTGTCTACATCTGATGTGCTTGCATCTAATATAGTGCTCTACAAAATAATAAAATATCTCTGTATAAGTAATACAAATAGATAAGCAAAAATGCTTAAAACCCCTGGCTAAAGATTTTGCACAAGTACAGGACTATGCACTAAGTTAATGCAGTCGATGCTCAGGTCACCACAATTATTAATTATTGAACTTTGCTGTTTTCATTGGACCTGGAATAGTGTGTGTTTGAGCCGACCCATTCCTAGCCTCACGGCAGGCTTCAAGTATCATGGAATACAGATTGTTTCATATCAACAATTACATATTCAGATACATCCAGCAAATAACAACATTAAATAAAAGTTTATTAATATGAATTAGGAATACACAATATAATGTACATACAAGTACATACTGTACATTATTAATGAGTACAAATATTGACAGCATAGAGGCTAGCTGCCTCCTCACCCTTCTGAATACATTCCCTTCATCATTGACACCACCATTTATTATGAATATTTCATTTTGACTACGGAATATGATCTTGTCTTGAGGTTATCTCGAGATGATTTCGGGGCTTTAGTGTCCCCGCGGCCCGGTCCTCGACCAGGCCTCCACCCCCAGGAAGCAGTCCGTGACAGCTGACTAACACCCAGGTACCTATTTTACTGCTAGGTAACAGGGACATAGGGTGAAAAACTCTGCCCATGGTTTCTTGCCGGCGCCTGGGATCGAACCCAGGACCACAGGATCACAAGTCCAGTGTGCTGTCTGCTCGGCCAACCGGCTCCATGATAGAGCGATGCATTACAAACAACTGAAATGGTAAAATGTTCTCGGCTAATTTTGTGAAAAGCTGCGAGTGAGTTTAGTATTGAGGCAGCAACGGCGCCACCCACGTAGTGCAGTCAGGTGATCACTCCGGCCAGACCTGGTGGAGGCGTCTAGACTCTCCCACTGACACCACCCCACCCTTCCTTCCCTGACACTCCCCACTAACACAACCTGCCTCTCCTGACAACTTCCACCACTGTCACCACCTGCCTTCCCTCACACCACTATCACTATATGCCTACCCTCACAACTGACACCACTGCCTCCCTTGACAACAACTTTCACCATTTGACTCTCCTGACAACTTCCACCATTGACACCACCACCTGCCTTCCCTGACACCATTAACACTACCCACCTTCTCTGACAGCTTCCACCACTGACACCACCTGCCTCCCCTGACACCACCAGTCTTCTAACAACACCTTCCACCGCTGAAACCACTAGTCTTTTCTGACAACACCTTCCACCGCTGACACCAAAAGTCTTTTCTGACAACACCTTCCACTACTGACACCAAAAGTCTTTTCTGACATCTTCCACTGCTGACACCACTAGTCTTTTCTGACAACAACTTCCAACACTAACTCCACCTGCCTCCAATGAGAATAACTTCCACCACCTGCCCCCTGACAGCACTTGACCCCTGACTCCAACCCTCACCAATGACACCACCTGCCTCCCCTGACACCAGTTTATCATCCTTCAACCATTTCTCCCTGTAAACAAAGGGTAAGCAAACTAAAACACTGTACAACTGTTTACACTTTGGTGAATCACAGTTGATGACAGCCACCTCCGACACTCGCTCTCGGTGATCGCTTGGACAAACAATCCTCGCTTAATCGAACATCTGTACGCTCCACTGAACATTTAGCACCGAATTCAATTTGTTCGGACCATCCGGGAATTCGATAGAGCGCGGTTCGTTAGTGTGAGGAAACACTGTACCACTGTATAGTCATTCTATCCTGAAATGCATTTCATCTAACTACAAGAACTGCCTGGAGCCAGTTATGTATTTCTGTTGTAATTTATAAAAAAAATTTACTTACCACGAGTGATGCCTTAGTAACCGAGCACTGCATAATAGAATTTTCTGAGATGAGAGACATTTTTCTTTGATTCTTCAGCTCATTTATTTCTTGTAATAAACTATCATTTTGAGCTTCACTTTGTCTGGAAAAATAATCAGCAAATCAGTATTACCAATATTTTGAATATATCACAATCATCATTCCCTTTTACACACACAAATCCATAATATAATGGCACAGTGTTGTTATTTTGCTACAATCAAATTTACATGTGAAGCAGAAATGCATATACTGTATTTCTCTATATCACTCTTGTCCCTAATTTCTCCCATAAACCAGCCTGTTCTAACACTTAATGCACCATAATTCAGACGCTCTCGACCAAAGCATTACCATTCCTGTTTTATTGAAAACAGAATTCCCATAATATTGCTGCTATCTTGGACTAATAAGCATTGACCTTATTTGAAAAGATATTGGTTGAGGAAGTGCAACATGTTGACATTCCCTGACTGTGCATATAAAATGCAGTCAAATCACACTGTAGAAAAATAACTAATATAAAAGATTTGTGAGCAACCATATCACAAGACCTTATTTTAAAAACACAATAAAGAAGCTGTCAAAACTGCAAGAAAAATGACAAATTAGATTACAAAAACCTCTTAAACAAGAGATGCTATACCAATGATTACAGTTTTCAACACTAGTGCTCCTCAAAATAACGCAGTGCCCTGAATGAGGCACCGCATTACTGTGGCAAAAAAACCAAAGTTGAATGTAATGAAACGCCATTTTCTGGGCGAGTCCCGGAGGCTCCCCGGAGCTATCCATGGCTTATATGGATACCTTAACTATTTTGCATCAGTCGATGTGGGTGGAGTTCTAGGCCTACCGGGGACCACGAGCCAGAACCTGGCCCCCCTCAGAGAGGCACGGGGAGCAATGGCCCATAGAATTGCACATGTGATTTGGAGCATTCTATATCTGCCATCGACCGGAACAGGCACCCAGAAAGGTAAGCACCACAACACAAACCCCTATTCTGGTTAACAACAAAAATCGACAAACGCGTGGACACAACTCCCCCAGAAAAACGAACTAACAAGCATGACGTCACACGAGCCGCGCCGCATGTCTGCGCAGCTTCCCCCTCCCCAAGAGGGGATAGGGGGAGCCCCAGACCCCCGCGCCGGCGATCCCCGCCCCAGTTCTGAGGCTGGATATCAAAACCGCGAAAAAACCCACCGACCGGAGGGCGGGAGGGTGCCGGGGAGCTTCCGGGACTCACCCAGAAAATGCCGTTTCATTACATTCAACGCTGGTTTTCTGGGGGAGCCCCTATGGCTCCCCGGAGCTACTTCACCAAAGACTACCTAAGAAAACAAGGAGACATACCTGGGAGGCGGTCGGTACACCACTCCGCAACACGAAGTTCAGACAACAACCCAAGGACCCCTCCGGAAAGCAGCAGGCACATCATGCGCCAGAAAAAGGGAGAACGGCTGCAGATGAAGAAACCTATGAGCACGGCCATAGGAACTAAAAACCACTGCACCTGAGAAGAGCATGAAGCGCTGCCACACGATCCCCAGAGGCCAATGCCAACATAAAATGAGAGCCGAAGCAAAGCAAACCTGAACCGAAGGAGCCACAACAACCAAGGAGAAGAAAAACCGAAGAGCACCCTGTCCAAAGACCAGGACGGCACAGGCAGTGCATGAGCAGGCCGGAAGTGAAACCACACACAAGACAGCCTGCAAAACGGCGTAGAAGGAACATCGATACCTAAAGCTAGCAGCAGAAACCAAGGTGCCAGACCCAGGAACGGCCCCAAGTGCCTCCACATCCTCCGCAAGCCAATCCTATGACAGCCCCAGGAGGGAAAAGAAACGCAGGACCAAAACCAAAATGCCACAAGCGTGCAAGTCCACTGCCACAAATGCAGCCGACAGGGAAGGAACCCGCATAAGGAGCCGCCCCGCACCAACATCCCGCAGAAGGGTAGGAGCGAAAAGACTCATTAAGAGGAGCAAAAGCACCCCCAGGAAACGAACAGCGCCGAGACAGCGCTATGAGAAGAGATATGAACAAAAGAACAAGAAGCAAACACCAAGGACGAAGGCACAAAAACCCCGTCGCACCCGAGATCAAAAGTTATGCAGAACCCCAAGAAGAAGCGGACGTGACGGAGAAGGCCCGTCTCAAAAAAAAAAAAAAAAAAAAAAAAAAAAAAAAAAAAAAGAGGGGGGGGGGGGGGCGAAGACCGTAGAAAAGCACCCACCGACAGGACGGAAGCAATGGGTACAATGGACAAGGAAACCGAGCCCAGGGAGGGGCCGATGCCCAAAAAGCACATGTGGAGAGGGGGAATGGAAAAACCCTACTCCACAAAACCACAAGCCCCGCCCAGAGGGGTAGAAAAAACCCCGGCGGGGACCCACGGGGCCTGAGGCCCTCCACGTTAGCCCCACCCCAGCCCCGGGAACCCACCCTGCAGGCCCCGGGGCTGAGCTGTCCTCCCAAAGCCCCAGTGTCTAGAAAAACCCCGGGGCAGCCGTGAAAAACACTAAGGAAGGGAGCCCACAGGGCGCTGGAACCTAAACTGAAACCGGAGGATAGGCGAGGGGCGAGACTAAGACCCCAAGCCCATCCCCAGCCAGCACAACGAGGCGAGGACAACGAGGACAGGACAGAGAATCCAAGGAACATGGAAAAACCAGGCCCGGCAAGGAAGGAGGGCCCTTACAGGCGGAAACCGAGTACCCAACCGAGCCACAGGGACGGTAGAAGAAACGTGTGCAGTGTAACAGGCAATCGAAGGAACACATTAGGCAGCCCAACTTGGGCTGACCCCATACACAGCCCCAAGAGCAGAGACGAGAGCGCCCATGAAGCATAGAATCCGCTCGTCAGGCGAACGACAGGGAAGAGGCGGAACCAAAGAGCCCGAACCTAGTCCTGCAAGTACAAGTCGGCGAGCACAAAACACCCACGACACAGGAAAACGGACCACTGAACAGGCACTCCCACCGTTGCACCGTGGAACAAGGTGGAGGCGCGCCCTAAAATATGCAATTTAATACGGAATATGAACAGATGCCTAATATATTATAAATTGCCAGTGTAAAGTGTCAGGACGAAGGAGACGCCAGAACGCACCAACTCACCTGCAGAACATAGGCGCTGAAGGGCCATGACACAAGCCTATGAAAACGTAGCCGCCGGAGGCGGCCAGGGCGCCCATGCTGGAGAGGAGGAGAGGAGCGGCGAAAGAGGCTCCCCACCCTAAAATGCAGGGAAAACCTCGTGACTTCCCCACAGCGGCACTCCAGAACACCCCCAAAGCAACAGGGCACGGATTGGAGAAAGAAAAGAGCGAGAGGTGACAAGCAACAAAGCTCGCAGGACTCGGGGTCGAATGTGTCACCGACCCAACAGGCAGCATGACGGAGGCAAAAGCAAGGGGAGTCACCCTGAGACAAAGGGACAGAGCAACCCTCAACTCGCACAAAGTGAGAGGGGATGCAAGGGTCTCCACTACCGGACCCGAGAGCCCCCGGGGGGTTTCCCAGGGCCCCTAGACTGGGTCTGCTAAGGGTTATCCCAGGCAGGGCACTGCTAACCGGCACCCCAAACTACCAAGCAAACTGCTAAAGCTGAACCCACGGGACGTGTCCACCCGTGAGGGCGAAGCAGGGGGTGCCACCACACAAACGACCCTAATATAAGGGGGGGGGAACACAAGGCAGACCCCCCCTACCAGGCAAAAACAAATATAAAAGAAAAACCACACAAGTGGACAACATACCCAGAGGGAACAGAGCCGGCCGCTGTCATAGGTGAAAACTAGCTACGCAGTACCCTGCGCCCCACCAGTGCTATAACTACCACTTACCCCAAGGCAAACAAGGGAGGACAACCCCCAAACACTCGGGGCGGCCAAACGCCAAGCAGCGAAAAGCCAACAGCGGTAGACCCAAGGTGACTTGTGGAAGGCAATCCCAAGCCCCAAGGGCGGTACTTACAGGGCACTCAGGGAAGGTGACCCTAAGCACATGCAGCCCGAGTACCTGAGAATACTACTCCCAGCTCACACGACCACCGTAAGAGCAGTACTGCAAACAAGTCACAGCACTGAAACAAGACTGGAGCTGGAGCCACACGACCATGCACTATCCCATCAGCCGAGGAACTGAGGCAGGGATCGCCGGCGTGGGGGTCTGGGGCTCCCCCTTCCCCCTCCCGGGGAGGGGGGAGCTGCGCAGATATGCGGCGCGGCTCATGTGAAGTCATGCTTGTTAGTTCGTTTTTCTGGGGGAGTTCTGTCCACTCGTTTGTCGATTTTTGTTGTTAACCAGAATAGGGGTTTGTTTCGTGGCGTTTACCTTTCTGGGTGCCTGTCCCGGTCGATGGCAGATATAGAATGCTCCAAATCACATGTGCAATTCTATGGGCCATTGCTCCCCGTGCCTCTCTGAGGGGGCCAGGTTCTGGCTCGTGGTCCCCGGTAGGCCTAGAACTCCACCCACATCGACTGATGCAAAATAATTAGGATATCCATATCAGCCATAGATAGCTCCGGGGAGCCGTAGGGGCTCCCCCCAGAAAAGAATGATGTTCTTGTGGGTGAAATACTTTAGACAAAGTAATGCAGCAGGCACTTTATGTAGAAGTATGTCTCGCTACCCTGTGGCGTACCCAGCAGCAACAGTCAATAGCCAGGCAGCTGTCACAGTGTGGGGTTACTTTGTGCATCTTGCTCTCCCACATACTGGAGTGTTTTATGCAGTTATTTGTTTTGTTGGTGGCATTACACTATTCATGACAGTGGGATTTAGGCAAGCTTGTTGTACTTCCTAAAAACTTAAGAGTGAATCGAGCAGTTTACCTGGAGCTGCTTTGTGATTATTTGCTGGAGTCTTTTGAGCACACACAAGCTACAGTGTTCCAACAAGACTGTGCACTAGCCCATACCACCAAACCTGGCTCTAAGTGACTTGATGACAGCATGGTACCCTTCATGAAAGGTTGATAACAGCCCGAATCTCGACCCAAATGAGAACCTCTGGCACATTGTCAAGAGGGATCTGCAGGGCAAAGATGTCATCCATACCGAGGCTGGAAACAGGCATACAAGAGTCCTGGGTCAGAATCACAGCTAACCAATAAAGAATTAAGTTTTTTTTTGTTTGTTTTTTTACTACACTTGTCACCTATTGTGTTGCACCTTGAGCAGGGAGACATTATTTTGACTAGCACTTAGTGCAAGTGTTATTGTAAGTGCCCTTTGACAGGTGTAATTGAAGAGAAAAAAGAATTACCACTAGTTAACCAGTACACCACAGTACACATGTTGATGCCAGCCTCAACCACTAGGATTATTTGGTGTGATCATCCTTGTTCAGCACTGGTGGACCAGCCCTTGGTGGACCAGGCCCACTATATACAGTATAGGTCAGGCATATATTATTAACAGATAGTTAATAATATATGTAGTCTAATACTGTAGTGAATGTCTACTAACCAATAATTTATACTGATGACTACATAAATAAATCATAAACCTCCCAGAATGTGTAAGGCTAGCGATTTGTGAGAATTTTAAATCAAACAGTCCACTTTAAACATCAAAGTTTGTTATCAAAATATATAAATTAACATAAAATATAAATTACTACACATTAATATAAATAAATATATAAATCTCACAGGTCAATTCCCAACAATACTAGAGGGACTAGTTCCAAATCTGCACATGGAAATTACACCAATGAAACCAAAGGCATGGCAAGATGTGCAAAATAGTGCCAATGGAAAGTACAGGCGCATTAGGAACACGCACAATTCAATATCAACGGCCCAGGACATATATATACACACTCTCCCTCTAAATATAAAAGGGACGTAACAAGCCAACATATGGTATTCAAGAGAAAACTTGATAAAATGTCTCCAGATGATACTTGATTAGCCAAGCTGTGATTCATACATCTGGCTGTGAGAAGCCACATCCAACAGTCTGATTGACCAGACCAAAATTCGGAAGGGCTGGTTAAGAGACTGGGCCATATGGACATTGATCCCCAGAATCAACACATGGTACCAGCGAGGAAGTCCAGGCCCGGGGAACATCAGGACCTTGCCTAAGGGAGCAACAGGTGATACAGCAACATAACCCAAAATATATCCCTGTGGAGAAGATATAGTTCTGACTTACCTGAGCTGCTCCCTCAAGACAGTGGCATCTATGTCTTGGTCTAGTGTTTCTCTCTTTGCTATTGATGCCTCACTGACCATCGACTGGTTGGTAGTAGCAATGGATACCAGTGACTGTTGCAGGAGTTTCTTCACTTCTGTCAAAGAAAACAGGGATAGTGAGATCAAGACCAAAGAAGGGGTAAATGAGGAAGGGGGGAATGAGGGGAGAGGGAAGGACAGGATGGGGGACAAGTGGAAGAGGGAAGGAAAGGAGTGGGAGAGGGAAGGAAAGGAGTGGGAGAGGAAAGGAAAGGAGTGGGAGAGGGAAGGAGAGCATCAAGAATGAGTGAGAGAGGGAAGGAGAGCATCAGGGATGAGTGGGAGAGGGAAGGAGAGGATCAAGGATGAGTGGGAGAGGGAAGGAGAGGATCAGGGGTAAGTGAGAGAGGGAAGGAGAGCATCAGGGATGAGTGGGAGAGGGAAGGAGAGCATCAGGGATGAGTGGGAGAGGGAAGGAGAGCAGCGAGGATGAGTGGGAGAGGAAGGAAGGAGTAATTATACAAGTGTAGTTGCAGGATGAGAGCTATACTCATTGTATCCTGTCTTCTCAGTACCTTGTCATATGACACTTTGAAACAACTGACAGTTTTGGCCACCACCTTTCAACCATCTATCACTATTTCCAGTGAACTTTCTAATGTTTTAATGGTAGCTTTTTTCCTTAGTTTGAACCTATGTCTTCTTGTTCTTGAAGTTGCAGCTTTTAAATACTCTTATTTTGTATAAAATTTGTCGATTCCTGTTACTATACACAAAGAAATCACACTAATGTGACATATATCAATGAGAAAATCAACTGGAGTGCTGAGGTGACTCAAACCTGCAACCAAGGCACTGCCAGCCGCAAACTCTACCACTATACCACCCTAACTTGTTAGAAGTTGTACAAGCTGAGATTCTACTGAATCAACAGGAAGACTGGAGGCCTCTACTGAAACCATTCCTAGTTTCTCTGGACTAGGAGAGTCCAGATCGTTTGATGTTGGGGCTAGTAGCGTGGCATCATCAGCAAACATATTCATATATAGTTCATATAATGGAGGAGGATAAAAGAGCACTTAGCAGGGTGGAGGCAGCACTGCAGGTATGAGAGCGAGGAAGAGACCTTCAGCCGCAACACAACCCAAGGCCACCGAGGACTGGGGATGTTCACGAGATACCTGGACACCAAGACCCTATATGTTCGACCATCAAAACACCCAGTACCCGAATATCGGTCCAAGACATTTTGGTAAACACAGTAAAGACAGAGCAGCATACTAGCATACAACATGGGCACAACAGTAGACCGCAGGCTGGCTGAACTTAATGACACTGCGGACAACCTAAAAAATATGAGCACTGAAACAGGGAACCAGGAAAACCAGATCAACTCGTAGAGTCCGCCGAAGCAGAACTGGCGACACAAAGGTAGCAGAGCCAAGCCGCCACTGAACGAAGTACATGATGCACTCCCGGCCAAGCCAACCATGAATCCACGACCAAAGGATCCCCTCCAGAAGCCAGCAGACTTATTCTTTGGCAGAAAAGAAAAAGCCAAATGCAGACGAATAAAGAACCCACCAGGGCCAAAGGAACAAACCACCCCTATCAAAGAGCATGAAGCTCACCCACCCAACAACCAGAGGTCAGAGAAATAAGAAAAAGCCTTCATGAAACAATCTCAGAGTGTAGGGGCCACCGTAAACCAAGCAGGAGAGAAAAATAAATAAAATATCTGGTCAATGGGTCAGGCAGGCTCAGGCAGTGCATGAGCAGGCTGGAGATTAAACAATGCATGAGAAAGCTTGCAAAATGGGGCTAAAGAAGTATCGATCCTGAAAGCAAGCTGGAGCAGCTGCCAATGCCACGTAAGAGGTGACAGCATTCGGCATAAGAGGCGATCAAGAAACGGCCAAGGACAGAACAACCCGCTCGCAAACCGAAGAACAATGACGAAGGGACAGAAAATAATAATTCATTGTGTTGAGGGACAGGAAGCCAGAGTTAATTTATACATGTTTTGCTTATTTTTTTTAGTCAAGGTCCCCAAGGCCGAATTACTGATCAACGAATTACTAGGATACAACCCCAAAACGAGCTGACTAACTCCCGAGTACTTACTCACTACTAGGTGAACAGAGGTATTAGGTGAAAGGAAATATGCCCAACCCTTTCTATCCCGCCCGGGATTCGAACCCGGACTTCTCGATTGTGCGTCTAGAACAAACCCCAACTGTACTGCAGGATGGATGTGAATGTGCCAATACATATCCTGGAGGTCCAGAGAAATCATCCCAGCACCAGGCTTGAGAGCAAGCCAGACCTGGGATAAAGTGGTCATCTGGAAGGAGGACTACAGGATGAACCGGGTTCAACTCGGAAAGGTCGAGAATGAACTGCAAATCCAAGGAATCCAGTTTCAGGACCAGAAACTGGCAGTTGTTTCGAGCATGCCCAAAGCTACCCACTCCGAGACAACCCAACGAAGGCAGAGGGAAGGAGCCTGCCCTGAAAGCCCCTTAACGTGGCTGGAATGACCAACTCCACCACAGGCAATGGGAAAAACATGAAAAACCCACAAATAGCGGGACCAAGAGCTGGCACAACAAGCTAGCCTCCCCCTACCACCCGACCAATGGTGCGACCTGTGAAAGGGCCAGCACGAACCTTGAGAGCCAGCCTGCCAAGCAGAGTGATCACAGCACAGACCAGATGAAGGGAATGAGGGCCAAGGATGCACATCCGACCAGGCAACTGGCACCATGGTGGACCCACCTCGACTGACAGCAGATGATGCCCTGGCTTGACCAAACCACCGGGAAAAGCGAGAACAACCACCCCAAAAACATGACAAGAAGTCCCCACAGGCCAACAAGCAGCAGCCACGGTCAACAAAAACTGAGAAACCACATCCTCTGGAAACAAAGGCAAAGAAAAGGGAGAAGCAGAAGTGAGAGCCAGGGGCCCATGGCAAGCCCAAAAATCAGGCCGGCACAGTTTGCCAACACGAGAGAAGGTAGGTGAAAAACAAGACCGCCTCCCAGATGATCGGTGGATACAGCTTAAGGGGGCGGGGGAGGGCAGACAATGTTGAAGCAGCAAAGACCAAGACCCCTGCAAGAGGTGCCTCATCGAGTGTCAAATGTCCTCCGAGAGCCAATCAGAATGAAGTGCTAGGAGGCTTACGAAACGCACGACAGATGCCAAGTGTGAGTGGGTATGATCATCACCAATCAAGGGAGCGTACAAGAGGGGAACCAGAGCATATAGTTGCACAAGACCCACATCATAGGAAAAGGCAGGAGCAAAGTGGCATGCATTGAAGGACTCAAAACAACCCCCAGAAATACCTGCAACACTGTAGACACCTCCAGCCACCAAAGCGTGCTGGTACAACGGAAACTGTGCCAAGCCCTAAGCGAACACAAAGAACAGTCTGCCAGCCAGGATGACTCCTGAACCTTGTAATGCACCCAATAAGGGGAGGAAGAACAGAACTAAAAGAAAAGCTGGGTCCATAACCAAGGTGTAAACAGAGTCGTGCAGGAGGTACATACACAGGGCCTCTCAAGCCTCCACCGGGGGAATGCGGAAAGAAGGAAACTTCCAGAAGGACAAACCCGAAGAGCCTAAAGACACTCTAAAATACACCCTGGGAAAAGTCGCACCCAACTGAAACTCATACAGAGAGGGGGCATAAGAAAAACCCCCTCCCCCTACAACACAAGACCCTCCACAGAAGGCACTAAGATCCACAAAGGATCAAATAGGACCCAAGGACCCCAGTTGTACTCGCTGGAAAGACCTAGAAGCCTTGGCATGAGCGAGAGGGTCAACTCCTTCCTGGCCCAAGTCGGACAGGGCAAACCCCAGATCAGCCCAAGCCACATCCTGAGGTAAACCTTTTCCCGACTCCAAAATCCTAAGATATTTCGGAGGCGGAAACAGGGGAAGAGGAAAAGGACGAACCATGCCCACCAGGGAAGGAAGAGATGAGGACGGAACCACAGTTGAATTAACCAACCCCTTTAACCTAGACCGCTGAAACACACGAAACCTCAACTGCAAAGCAGTCCCTGTCTGATATCTCTAAACTTCTAGATGGGAGTGGGTAAGAAGTTACATGTGGGGATCAAGAATCGCATGTGGGAAACAAGTCTCGCATGACTCGCTGTTGAAGATGTCACCGATCCTGCAGGCAGAATGGTAGAGGCAGAACGTATGAACGTCACAAGGTGGCACAGACGACAAACGTCCCTCAAATTCGCACAAGGCAGGAGTGAGCTCAGAAGAGGTATCCACACAAGGTATCTCACAAGCCCAGCCTGGCCTCTGGCTGTGCTTGGGGAGTAGAAGAACTCCCAGAACCCAATCAAGCAGATCAAGCAAGTCAGACATAATACAACCGAATCCATCTGAGATTTCCAGGGTGAGTGTTCCCTGCAGAAAGCCCAGGCACTGGGAACGCTATATCGGTATCTCCTGGACAACTGAACGGGTAATGCTGACCACCCGAAGCCAACAGAAAGGCCTAGGGAGCAACAAGGGGTTAACTGCACACAACCCTAGATGAAACCTAATACTGTATGGTAAAACAGATATGCCCCCAAGCAGACAGGGCAATCACAAAAATTTTAGAAAAAGGAACAAGTGATAGCCCAAAGCACCCTAGGACCAAAATGTAGAGAACGAACAACCAGGGCCCACCAACCAGACATATAAGCTGGAGGCCCATTTCGGTGCACCAATCAGTCGCAAGAACCACAATGTGCTCCACCAGCAATAAACATTCCCAACCCAAGGAAAGACAGAGTCCAAGACAACGTGCTACCCTTAAGAGTAAGGGCTCACATGCAAAGAGACTCCCTAAGGAAGTATATCCGAACACACCAGGGAAGACGAGGGGAGTATGGGTAGTAAGGGGTAGACCACTAAATCACCACCTAAAATAAATTCTCAAAGGAATTGACAGGGTGGACAAAGAAACTATTTAACACGGGTGGAACAAGAACAGGGGGGACAAGTGAAAACTTGGTACCCAAATGAGCCAGAGACATTAGAAAGAATTTTTTTCAGTGTCAGGGTAGTTAATACATGGAATGCATTAGGCAGTGATATGGTGGAGGCTGACTCCATACACAGTTTCAAATATAGATTTGATAAAGCCCAATAGGCTCAAGAATCTGGACAACAGTTGACTGACAGTTGAGAGAGGGGGGGGGGGGGGGGGGGACCATAGGGCCAAAGTTCAACCCCTGCAAGCACAACTAGGTGAGTACATCCCTGACAATGTAAGGGCAACACTTAAGGAGCACCCAGGGAAGGGAACCCTGAGCACATGTAGCTCCAAGCACACTGAACTCCTGGCTCACACTACACCAACATGTACAAGAACAGTCTCAAAGACAAACACCACTCAAAAGAAAATGGGAGACTGGAGCCAAAGCAACTTGAGGGAGCACGACCGGGCACGGGATGCATCAGAATAAGAACTGGTGGCAGAGCAGCCGGCTGACCCGGCCTGCCTCCCTCCTCCCCCAAACGAGGGGGAAGGTGGGGCGAACTAGCTCACGCTAGTTTCACGAGTTTTCAATAGCTTGTTTACATTGTTGGGGGGGGGGAGGGGAGGGGCTCTTTTAGCGGTTTTGAGGCTACAGTCTCATTTCCAACTAAAGAGTAGTCTGCTTTGTTTCACTGATGTTCTGGGTGCCTTACCTTGGTGGTGTCAGATATGAATAACTTTACACACAAGTTTTTCATAATGCCATCACTCACTGCGCCACTGGCTCGTGGTCCCCATTAAGCCAACAAGAACTCCGTGACTTATGGCACTATCAGTGTGGCAGGTTCAGGGAGCCACAAGGGGCTCTCCCCAGAAAACAGGCTTCTATTAGACATCAGGAACACATCTTTACTTTAACCATAAACTTCATGTGTCCATAATTGTCCTATGACACATTCCCTGTACAAATCGAAGGCCTACTGTCTGTGGAGTCATTTTAATTTGTGAGGATTAATGCACAGATGTCATTACAATAGGAATATGTTATGGATGAAAAGATAAAACTTTATAATTCATGTTGAGAACAATTAATAAATTTCATGGTTCTAACCTTGTTGTAGGGATGAGATTTCTTCTTCTTTTTGCTTGAGAAGCTCCTCTTGCTCTCCAAGCTGACGACTGCACTGAGATACTTCCTCCTGTCGAGCCTCTCTTACTGCTCTTATTTCCTAAAACACCAATAAGAAAAACAATCTGCATTGTTACAATCATTTAAAATATGAGGATATTTTCCTCATCTTTAGAGATCAATCCCAACAAGTCTCACTCTGCCAACAGTTGCACAAAACCCTTCCTCAGCCACATGATGACCTAGAGATCTTTGAGGCAACTAAATGAAACTGCTATTCCTTTATAAACAACGAGTTTTGATAGAATAACTGGCTAAATACTTGGGATTAATGACCAGGTATAAAAAAAAGTTTTTCAGCATAGGGGTCATTCTATCCCAAATCACAAAAAGTGGACATTTCAATACGACCATCACGTATTTTCATGAAGTTTGGTAGAAAGGTGGTAGACACGAAATAGCTTACCTAAGTGTAATTACTGAACATGTAAAATTTTAGTGCTCAATGATACACGATATTCAAACAGCATGGTTCCCAAGCAGATCCCAACGAGGAAGCGAGCACCACCTGCCAACACGCGAGACACGAAGCGAAAAAACTGCGATACTGCATCCCGCAGGATCGGCGCAAACAGCTTCAGCAGTGCAGACGCTAACGCGCCGCCAAGACCAAGGCACGAGACCCAGGAATGACCCCAAGTGCCTCCACATCTTCCTGAAGCCAATCCAAAGACAGCTTCAAGAGGGAAAAGAACCGCAAGACTGAAGCCAGCAGACCACGAGCGCGCAAGTCCTCCGCTACCAATGCACCCGAAAGGGAGGGAACCTGCAAGTGAAGCTGCACCATGCCAACATCTCGCTGAAGGGCAGGGGTGAACAAACATGCATTGAGGTGCTCAAATTTGCCCCACAGGAAAACCTGAACCACCATGAACACCTCGCACCACTCAAGCGTGCGGGTACGACGATATATATTATATTATCGATTATATTATATTATAATATCTTTATATTATCGGATTCATTATAGAGGCATAATCCGAGTCACGCAGGAGTTAAGCCACAGTGGCCACCCGTACCTCAGTAGGCGAGACGCGGGAAGCTGAAAACCTCCAAAAGGACAGACCCGACAGGACAAGGAACTGGGGAGGGGCCGACACCAAATCCAACTCGTACCCAGAGGGAGGAAGGGGGGGGAGGGAGACAATCCCACTCCTTGTAACAGTAAGTCCCACTCAGAGGGTAGGAAAACCCAGGCTGGGTCCAATGGAACTCAAGGGCCCCAAGTCAGCCCCTCCCCAACTCCGGGAACCTCCACATCAGGACCCGGGCCGAGTCGTGCTCCAAAGCCCCAGCCTCACAAGAAAAAGCCATGGCAGCCGAAAAGGCAGGAAGGAAGGGGGCCCACTAGTCAGACCCTGTCACCACAGCTGGAGGAACCGACTCGAATGCCTCTGTCGCCCCCCCCCCCCCACCCTCGGGAAGGGGCAACCTTCTAAACTGACTCAAGTCTCAGAACCTGCTAAACCCTGCCCCGACCCTGAAGCCCTCAGACGCTTTGGAACCAGAAGCAGGGGGAAAGGGGCACCAGAATGAACCAAAGCAGAGGAAGAACGAGGGGTTTCTTCTCGTTCTCTCAATGTAAAGACTGAACCAAGGTTGAAACGACCAACACCTCCAAGTCCGGGTCCCAATAAGCAAAACTGGGCAGCCGCAGGGCTACAGGGGCAGCAATCAATCGAGCGCATTGCAGCAACCCTATATCTAGCATGCAACGCCCGAGTCACCCGCACCCAGATAGTGTCATCAGTGGACTGGGTGAAATGAGTCGCAAACAAGTAGCAAAACTCACAGGACTCTGGGTTGAAGGTGGCACCAACTAAACAGGCAACATGACGGAGGCAAAAACAGTGAGTCACCCTGACACAAGGGGGACACAGAGCAACCCTCAAACTCATACAAGGTGAGAGGGTACCCAGGGATCACATCCATAGGACTCCTTGGGCCCCCGCGGGGTTTCCTAGGGCCCTCAGACTGGTATAGCTAAGGGTAAGCCCAGGCAGGGTACTGCTAACCGGCACCCACGTCTACCAATCACACTGCTAAAAGCTGAACCCCCAGGATGTGTCCATTCAGGGGCCTAGCAGGGGGTACCACCTAGAAAAACACATATATATAAACCTAAGTTACAGATAGGGGGGGCAATAAATCAAAGGCAGACCCCCCCCAGCAGGCAGGGGAAAAAAAAAAAAAAAAAAAACCGCAAGAGGGCAACGTGCCCAGGTGGAATAGAGCTGGCCGCTATAATGGGTGATAACTAGATGTGCAGTACCCTGTGCCCCTACCAGTGCAAACTACCCCTTACCCTAAGGTAAACAAGGGAGAAGGAAACCCCACAGTACACTCAGGGCAGTCAATTACTGAGCAGCAAAAGATCAACAAAGGTAGACCCCAAGGAGACTTGTGGAAGATAACCTTAAGCCCCATGGTCAGTACTTACAAGGAACTTAGGGAAGGGAACCCTAGGCACATGCAGCCCAAGTACCTGTGAAGATTACTCCCAGCTCACGCACCACTCTGAAGGTAGCACTAGGACACAAGGCACAGCACAGAGAACAAGAAACAGGAACTGGAGTCACACGACCAAGCCCCAAACACATCAGCCGAGAACTGGGGTGTGGGTAGCCTGCACTGTGCTGTGAGCCCCACAGAGGGACGGACCCTACCGCCCCTGGCCGGCTTGGTGAGCACTGGTCACAAAGACCCAGCCAAGAGACAGCGTGTCCGTGAACACACCGAGCGAGGGTTCAGGAAGGCGCCAAGGCACTGAAGCCCGAAAACCCCCGAAGAGGAAACCGGCGACACAGCAACCGACGGAAAGCCCTCGGAGGCCAAACCCAGTGGTTGCGAGAGAGGCAGAAGGGAAGTCCCCCAAAGGAACCAGAACAAGCGATGAAGCCACACCCGACCAAACGGGTAGATCATCATGGCAAAGTTCAGTCTCCCGCACAAACCCTTGAGCAACCACCGTGTGACCTGGAAGCCCCTCAGGAACAGACGAGGGCGGGAACGCAGGCGAAGAAGAACCAAGGAAGCGGTTCGAGCATCCCACACAAGACCGAACCAGATGGGACTTCCTTCAGTTCACCAAGAACCCGAACCCGGCGAGCTGGGAAAGAACCAAATCCCTGGCTAGCAAACACTCGAACTGGCTGGAAGCCCAAACTAGCCAGTTGTCGAAGTAGGCCAAAACCCCGAACATCTAACAGATGCAGGCAGGCCACCACAACCCGAGTAAAGAATGTGAAAAAGCGAGGCGCCAGATTCAAGCCGAAAGAAAGACAACGAAAGTGGTAACCTTGACGCCCCACAGCAAAACAGAGCCAGTCCCTGAATCTCAGATGAATTGGGACGTGCCAAAACATGTCCCTGAAGTCCAGGGACACCAACCAAGAGTCCGGCTCTAACAGAAGACAGACCTGGGAAAGAGGAGTCATCCGAAACGAGGGGCAATAAACCCAAGGGTTCAGATGAGACAAGTACAGAATGAACCTCAGGACCGCGCAGTCCCTTTTCACGAATGGAAACAGATGGGAACCCACCTGAGGAACGAGGTCGTTTTGACCACGTCCGAGATGACCCAGTTTATACGTGAACAGGAACATGTACAAACAACAAACGTCGCACGACTCCGGGTCAAAAGAATCACCGACCCGACAGGCAGCATGGTGGTGGCACAACCGGTGAATATCTCCCCAAGACGAAGGGACAGAGCAACCATCAATCTCGCACTAAGCGAGAGGGGACTCAAGGGTCACATCCATCGGACCACAGAGCCCCCCACAGGGTTTCCCAGGGGCCCTTTACCTTGGTAACATGCTAATGGAAGCCCAGGCAAGGTAATGTGAACCAGCGCCCAAGACTACCAAGCAAACTTCTAAACGCTGAACCCACGGGACGTGTCCACTCACGGGTGCCTAGCAGGGGGTACCTCCAAATACACAGATATTTATATAGATACCCTAATTATAGATAGGGGCAACCAACCAAAGGCAGACCCCCACCAGGCCGGAAAACAAAAACAGAAAAACCCCCCGCAAGAGGACAACTTACTCAGGCAGAACAGAGCCGGGCACTATAATAGGTGATAACTAGCTGTACCCTGTGCCCCTACCAGTGACAAAAACTACCCCCTACCCAGAGGCAAACAAGGGCAAACAAAAACCCCAGCTTATTCCAAGGGCAGACAAGTACCAAGTAATAAAAGACACAGTGGAGGTAGATCCCAAGGTGACTTGTGGAAAGTGGCCACAAGCCCCAAAGGCAGTACTTACAGGGCACCTAGGGAAGCAAACCCTAGGTGCATGTAACCCAAGTACAGAAGAATAATACTCCTGGCTCGCACACCACCTGTAAAGACAGTCCATGCCACAAGGCACAGAAACAGAGAAAATCTGGAGCCAGAGGCACATGACCTTCCAGTATCACATCAGCCAAGAACTGAAGGGTGGATCTCTGCCATGAGTGTCTGGGGGCTCCCCCTTCCCCCTACCTGGGAGGGGGGAGTGCACAGACAGCGGCGCAGCAACATGATGACGTCAAGCTCGTTTGCTAATTTTCATTTGGGGATTTCTGTCCACTCGTTCGGCTTTTGGTAGCAAAATTTTCACCAAAATAGGGGTTTGTTTTGGGGCGCCTACCTTTCTGGGTGCCAGACCGGGTTGATGGCAGACACAGAATGCTTCCAACCACACAGGGGTTTCTATAGACCATTGCTCCTCGTGCCTCTCTGAGGGGGGGCCAGGTTCTGGCTCGTGGTCCCCAGTAGGCAAGACCTCCATGCACACTGACTGATGCCAGAAAGCTAATATATCCCTATCATCCTTGATAGCTCCGGGGAGCCGACAGACTCCCCCCAGAAAATAATACCAGAAATAATACCAGAAAATAATAAAATAATACCCTAAATTATAGACCCATACTACTGACAAGTTTGGTAGTCAAAACACTAGAAAAAATTTTAAAACCAAATGGGTAGAATTCCTGGAGAGAAATGATACAATAACAGACAGTATGGCTTTCAAACAGGAGGATGCTGTGTAACAAATCCACTGAGTTTCTATGATAAAGCCAGAGATTTTACAGGAAAGAGATGGTTGGGTTGACTGTGTTTAACTGAACCTTAACCCTTCGGCTGCTCAAGCGATTTTAGCATGCAACACTGGTGTGCATAAAATAAATTGTTCTGAAAAATTCATCTGTTCTATTGACATTGTTAATTAGCATCCAGGAAGGAAAATAGTGGCAATAAGTCTCCCCATGTCTTATGGTTCAGCCGCAGTGGGCCGGAGAAGTTGCATTTTAAGGAGTAGAAATGAGGCAAGGTGCCACACAGGAATAACTTTGACAATTTATTTTCATTGTTTCTCCCTTTATTTACATTTTTTTGGTTCTAACAAGTTGTATTGATGTGTCAATGATGGGGTTCATTAGGTATAACTTTTAAAATATAGGTATGTACAGATACATGTGTATAAATATATGTACACCATGTATTTATTCATAATAATCTATGCATATAAGACTTAATCTTATAATTGCACATAGCCCACATTTTGTCTGAAATATGTAATGGTAATCACTAATTTGCTCGATAAAAGTTCAGTGGATGCTAGTACGGTCCCCCCTGCACGCTCACACACCGCATCATGTTGCCACATATGGGCCTCACTTTTCTTACATAGAAAAATTGCTCTAAGAATTTGATTGTTACATCACTACTGAATTGTAGGCCTTCATTTGTAATGAGACAGTTAATCATCTTTCTGAGGGACTCAAATTATTAAACAAACCTTCCTTTCCTTCCCAATTTAATCCTATCTTATAAAAGGTACAAATCATTTGCTGTTTAAAACCCACATAAAATAATTGTAATAATTCACGGAGACTGCACACTCACCTTCTCGGAAATGTTGCACTTTTCCCTTAAAGCTTCTAATTTGACGTCTTCATGTCTCAACTCTTCCATCTCTCTGTCTGCCTTCGCAAGTCTATAGTCCAGTGATTCAACCTGTACATATAATATGCATCAATGTTGGCTAGTATACAACACACATTTGTTAAATAAAATATCTAATTCTAACACTACATTCCACTAACATGTGAAGTCTTGGGCTTCAGAAAAAGAGCAACTCTATACATGTTATAATTACCAAAGGCTTTAACAACCTGCACATGCACACCAAGGAGCCATTGTATTGTACTGTACACACACAAATATACTGTACAATGATGACCACTGGTGCTTGCTTCTCTTGGAAACTCCACCTGTGAGGGAACTACCAGATTTAAAATTTACTCAAGACACTCAAAAGATTTGCCAAATGTTTTGGGTGTCTTGAGTAAATGCTGATTTTGCTATTGTAAAAGAGAAGCACTTTGCCTATCCTAATAATTCAGAATACAACTAATTCCCAAGATAAAAGTTTATAAATAAAGAAAAATACTTCTAGATAACAAAGCTACACCATAATACACATTAAATGTTTAAATACAGAACTGCACCCAGCAACCAACTCTTCCACCCCCACTTTAATGGATATAACACTGGAAAAACAAGCAAAATGGGAAACAAGCAAGCAGAAATACCCTATATTTTATTTTAAAGCAGCAATAGTGAAACATATTGAACTGTTTCTATAGTGAATTATGTTACCTTTGAGTACAGAGATGAAATAAGGTCTTCCTTTTCACTAAGTTGACTAGTTAGTTTACTGCAGAGTTCTTCAAAAGTCACACATTTGCTTTTTATTTCTGCATTTTCTTTATTGAGGGTCATTACACAATCTTTTAGCTCATCCTGTAAAATAAAATTTTAATAAATAAATAAGGAAACAAAAATCAAATCTGGCATTTCAAAAGCAGATGACCAAGAAACACGGCCACAATCCCTATACCTAGCACCTCGCTCAAATAAATTTAAGAATACAGTATTTATAAACCACAAAAATGTATTCTCTCTCTCTCTTCTAAACAGGTACAAAAAAAGAACGAGCGTAGGTGGTGACCAAACCACATACCAGAAGATGAAGAGACAACGACATTTTGACCTGAAAATGACTTGATAATGGTCCAGGACGGACTGAAACATAGTCGTCTCTTCATCTTCTGATGTGTGGTTTGGTCATCACATCTTCACCCAGGTTACTGTGACTCATTGTCTGCAAATGAGTGTCGGTAGTATAGTTTGTATATACCTACCTATATGTGGGTAGGTAGATATAAGAGTTGTTCAAGTTTACTATTGAAGGATGTAGATGTCTTCTACAACTACTACTTTTGATGCACCTCAAAAGATGACCACCAGCACGTTTGAAGATTATGACCTTAGATTTTGAACCAAAGGGTTTTTTTTTAATTTACACCCATATTTCTGGTCTCCTTAACCCTTCAACTGTACATAATCAACCATGGCCATTTCATTGGTGGTGCGCATGTCAACTAGGGCAGATTTTAGGTCTAATGTAACATGTAAAACTCCCATGGGTACATGGGGCTCACACTGGCTTTCTCAGACCTCCAGTAGACAAACAATATCTTCAAGAAAAAAATATCATGGCACCCCTCTTGAGTGTGAGGGGCCTCAGTACTAACACTGCAACCATGGATAGTGCATGTAGCAGCAGCCCACAGTACTGCCATGCAGCTCATGACCACAGCATCACTTAATATTGATGAAATAAACAGCTGCAATTATTTATTGATGGAAGATAAAGACACCGATGAAGATTATGTACACGTTTCAGATACAGTATCGGTAAACCCAATGTTGGTGATGATGTTACCAAAGCAAGCACAAAGTTGCAGAACACAGCCGCAGTTTGGTGCCTCTACGTATCATGTAACAGGACCTCATCTTGTTTAGAAAAGGAACATGTGAAAAATTATTCATATTCAGGATTTAGTAACCAGGATTCTAATAATGTGTGTTTTGGCTAGTTAGCAATGTGCGTCATATGTAGGACAGCACTGTTTTGTCAGGTGCTGTTGGCAACTGGAGAGCGTGTGTGACTATGCTCTTCATGGCTTAAAGGTTTATGAGATTATCAGATTCACCAGAACAGCTGACTGGTTTGCAACAGTGCATAAACATGTAGATATTTATATCTAATGTGTGAATACAGTGTGATAACTGCAAAAAACCAGTGTTGAATGTAATGGAATGCCATTTTCTGGGTGAGCCCACAAGGTTCCTTGGAGTTATTGAAGTGATATACGCTACATTAGTCTGGGGGCCTCAGTCAATGGAGTTCAGCCTACCGGGGACCACGAGCCAGAACCTCGCCCCCTTAGAGGCACACAGGGAACAATGGCCTATGGACCCCCCCCCCTCCCCCATGTGTTTGGGAGCATTCAATGTCTGCCATTGTCCTGGGTTATGCACCTAGCAAGGTAGGCATAACAAAACAGACCCCACCACTTGGTAAGAAATTGCAACCGAAGACCAAACAGAGAGGCAGAACTCCAACCAAAACAGGCAATTGAAACAAACCCACCTGATTATCGTGGATATATCCAATAGGAAATTCAGTAAACTACCTTTTGGGAGCATCTAAATGCCACGCTCAGATTGGATACATCGAAGGGTCTGGGACCCACGGTTCTGTTTGAGTGGTAATCCACTACAAACAATTGATATTATAATAACCACTGCATATGCATCTAAAGTGTCATGTAAATATTCAATAAATGTTAAAATAAAAGGAACTTACTTCACGATGATCTCTGTTACTTTGATCCATCAGCTTCATCTCCAATTTCCCTTTTTCTTCCTCCAAATTTTTTAACTGTAGTTTCAAATAGTTCTTGGAATCTGTAAAACAAGAAGTGTCAAATATTCCATTGTCCAAATACAATTGTATATTACTATTATGCTTTAGTAATGTGCAAACTTGCACAACTTCACATACCTAGATAACATGCGATCAAGTATGCCATATCCATCTTTGTAAACCGTGATAGATGGTTGTAACAAGGTGGTGGAGGCCAAAACCGTCAGTAGTTTCAAAGCGTTATATGACAAAAAGTACCGAGAAGAGGGGACATCACGAGCATAGCTCTCATCCTGTAACTACACTTAGGCAATTACGAGCTAATAAACCATCATATGACAGATCACCGAATAGGGAAGACAGGACACCACTAGCACATGTTCAAACATATGTGCATGGTTATATCTATAAAACAGAATGTCTACCAATTTGTCCATAGTAGGAAGTCAGACACTTGGGGCTAGACTCACCCAACATTCCAACATGAAACATGGCACGTAAGCAAAATCTAGAACAAAAACTACATCTATCATTGGCCCTTTGAACAAGGGAGATTTCACAAAAAAGAAAATTGTACTGAGAATACAGTACAATTCTATTTTTTGTGAACCCCTGAACACAATTAAGATCAACAATCCAAACAAATTCTTGATGAATGTACTACCAACATCAAATCATATATCAGATGTCACACTAAACCCACTAGACTTTGAAACAGCGATAAGACAGTACAGTATGTACATACACTCTGCACCAAGCCCATATTCCTAGAATTTCCATATACATTATGAATTTAAAAAACCCTATCACAGGTCCTTAACATTACTTGGAGATAAGAGTCTACATACTGGTGTTATGCCCTACATACTTAAAACCCCAGAAATAGTGCCACTCTACAAAGTGGAAAACACAAAGCAGAGGAAAACAATTGTAGACCAAAAGCACTAACATGACATCATAAAATCCTTTGAAAGAGTGCTAAGAAGCAATATCACAAAACACACGTAAACACAGCATTTACATAACCTTGGATGACGTGGGTTCAGAACAGGGCACTCCTGCCTCTCAAGTACTAGACCACTATGACATGCCCCTAGCTGAGATAAGCAAAACTCTGATCTTGAATACAAAGATTTTGTGAAAACTTTTGACAATCGTAACCATGATGTTATTGCACTCAAAATGCTCAATACACAAAACTCAGGCTATCCGACCACCACCACCACCCAAGAGAAAGATAGTGTGGGAAATAGTTATCGCTGTGTAAACAAATACTATAGCTTCATTTAATTACTGTACTCTTTAAAATAAACTCTTTACGAGAAGCAAATTTTGTTTCTAAATGAATAATTGTCGTAAATTCTATTTGTATAGTGAGCCCACCAAGACTACTCTTTCTTGTCCACTACGTCACTCATCATTATAGTCATATGTTACGAACCCGACTCCATCGTCAGAGCATGGAGCACCGACGTCAATGCCATCTGTGAGTCTGCTCCCTAAACCCCCACTAAATGAACGACGCCATCTGATGGTGGCAGTATGATACCTGCAAGAGACGCTAGATTCCTGTCCTGGTCAGCCCGAAGAGTCGTTGTTGCTGACCTCTGGTGAGGTGGCGCCTAGAAAATCAGCACCATCTATTGTGGGAGGAGTTGTATGTTTATGTCAGAGTCCGTAAGTGGTATTTCCTAGCGTCCCTAGTACTGGCCAGTTTACTTATAATGTGTCTGTATCCACAGAGGTGACGTAGGGCTGCAGTGGTACGAGAACAGTTCAGTCTACCCAGGGCAGCCTATTATCTCTCTACTTCATTCTGCTTTACGTGAGCAGTGAGCAATCGCCGAAGAGGAACCAAGTAGTATCTGCTGTATGCCTGTGAAATGGCAGTGACAGAATTTGGCATATCCCGGGACTGGCTAGAGGAAGAGACGACCAACAGTGAGGTGCTACGGTGGAGTGTAACTAGCTAGTTGCAAGAAGCTCCTGCCAGGGGTTCGCTATTTGTTCGTGTAGAGGCCCAGCAGCGCGAGGCCGATGTTCTCTGCCAGCACCAGGCTGGAGAGTGATTGTGGGCGTTCACAAGAAGCACCTAGTGATATTGTAGACAGGCTGGCCCGTGGCCAGGGTAGACTCGTTGGTGTTTCCCAGGACTGGTTGAAGACGGTACTGTGTGTTGAGGAAACACGGAAGTTGACAAGGCTGCATTGCATGAGCATCGAGGAGCGTTTAGTGTCCTATGAGAGCGACATGTGTATATATCAGTGTAGTAATACTTCGTTTATGATTCTATTTAAGGTGATGGGAAAATGATAATATGTGAATATATTGATAATTGATGAAGTGTTGTATTCCTTTCAACTCCCACCTTGAATTTACTTGCATTACCAAGCTTACTCCTCGAAAGTCACTACCGACTTGGGGTCAAATACTAGTACTTTGGTTCCTCCAGCAAAGAACCCGGTTGCGACCTATCGTGGCCGTAATATAATTGGCATTCCCAGCGGGATCCGACCTCTTGTCAAGTGCATTTGATAGGGGGTGGTGACGTAGTGCAACCCCCTGTGAATAATTCCCGTTCGTTATTTGTCAGGACGCTACATGTCCTGTGCGGTGCCCAGCGTGATTAAGTGCAGTATTGGCGAGTGCGGTGCTCAGAGTTATTATAAGTGTTTAGTGTTAAGTAAAGTGGTGTGTTGTGTGCTCGTGCACAACTTGGTGACAATATGGCAGAGAGAAACCATTGACAATCTAGACGATGTTCAGGAATTTCTGAACAAGGAGGACTGTCTTGCTAGATTGAAGTATCTGGGAAAGCAGGAACTTGTGCTAGTAAGTGCCTATTTAGGGATCAAAATACGTGAGAGTGATTCCCAAGATGAAATCTTGTCGAAGGTTCATAAGCACTTAAAGGCCGAGGAAAAGCAGGAAAGTGAGGCACTGGGTGCAAAAGAAACTGATATGGCTTCCACTGAAAAGGAAGACAAAGACAGTGATGGTGAGAGTGAAACTAGTGAATTGAATATCAGCCTTCTCACGGTGAAAATGCGTGCATTAGAGGTCAATCGTGAAATAGTGGAAAAAATTTGAAATAGAACAGGAAATGAAAGAAAAAGAAATAACTATAAAAGAGAAGGAAATGGAAATGAAACATTTGGAATTAGAGCGAGAATTACAAGAGAAAGAGAAGGAAAGAGAAGAAAGACGAGAAAGAGAAGAGAGAAGAAAGAAGAGAAAGGAAAAGAGAAGAACAAGAAAGGCAAGAAAACAAGAAGGAAAGACTACACGAGTTAGAAGTACTACGATTAGGTGGTCAGAGGGAAACAAAGAAAACAAGTCGTTTTGATCCAGTGAGAATATCAAGATGGTCCCAAAGTTCAATGAAAAAGTCTCAAAGTTCTTAGCTGCCTTTGAGAAGGTTGCTGCCTCTTTGGATTGGCCAAAGTAGAATTGGGCCATCATGATTCAGTCCATCTTGACTGGAAAGGCCCAAATTGCATACTCCGCGTTGTCGCTTGATGATTCGTGATTACGACGCAGTGAAGAAGAGTGCTCATGGCTTATCAGTTGGTGCCAGAGGCTTATAGGCAAAAGTTCAGGAACCTGAAGAAGACCTCGGAGCACGCGCATTTACGGAGTTTGCAAACATAAAGGAACAGCTTTTCCAAGAATGGTGTGCGTCTCGAAAGGTGAAGACGAAAGAACAACTCTAGCAACTCATATTGTTGAAGGTGTTCAAGGAATGTCTGTCTGGAGATCTCAAGACATACCTAGAAGAACAGCAGGTTGAGACCTTGAGTGCAGCAGCCATCATGGCTGAGGAGTACATCCTAACTCATCGGCCCTCTACCAGGTTTGTCCCGAAGAGTTACCCACGTCTGTTTGGCAAATCTCAACCAAAAGAAGAGAAACCCGTCCCACAAAGTGCTTTGAAGATGCCCCCAGGTAGTCCTCGAAGGACTAGTCCTAACAGACCAACACACCGTAGTCCAAGGAGGAACATAGTGTGTTGGACTTGCGGGCAGCGAGGGCACGTTGCTGCCAGGTGCCGAGGAGGGACAGGTAACAACCCGCAGAGAGAAGTAATGCTGATGGGTTGTACGACACCACCAGTGGGAACCCAGTCTCTAATAACGAGTAGAGGACCAGGATTCTTTACTCTCACACTTCAGGTGGGTATGTAGCGAGTGATCATACTGGTAGATCAGTTGTAGTGCTCAGAGATAGTGGAGCAGCCCAGTCCTTGATCGTGAGAGACTCGTTACCCGAGGGAGTGTGTGTTGCCAGGACACAAAGGGTTGTTCTAGTTGGGTTTTCTTCGACGAGGTATGTTGCCCCTTAGTGCAAGTACACCTAGACTCGCCCTACTTCAGTGGCACATGTGCGTTGGCAGTAGTTGATACCCTGCCTATAGCAGGGTATCGTTGCAAAGGTCTTTGCACCTTTTCCAGTTTGTTGATGTGCTTCTTAAGATATGGGCACCACACAACCGCTGCATATTCCAGCTTTGGTCTAACAAAAGTCGAGAACAATTTCTTTAGTATTTCGCCATTCATGTATTTAAAAGCAATTCTGAGGTTAGAAAGTGTAGCATAGGCTCCTCGCACAATGTTGTTAATGTGGTCCTCAGGTGACAGTTTTCTATCTAGAACCACCCCTAGATCCCTTTCTTTGCCAGAATTCTTTAAAGATTTCTCACATAACTTATAGGTTGTGTGGGGTCTATGTTCTCCAATTCCACATCCCATAACATGGCATTTATTCACATTAAATTCCATTTGCCAAGTGTTGCTCCATATACTTATTTTGTCCAGGTCTTCTTGAAGGGCATGACAATCATCTAGGTTTCTTATCTTCCCTATTATCTTAGCATCATCAGCAAACATGTTCATGTAATTCTGTATTCCCACTGGTAGATCGTTTATGTAGACAATGAACATTACCGGTGCAAAAACTGATCCCTGTGGTACTCCACTTGTGACATTTCTCCAATCCGATACCTTGCCTCTGATTACGGCTCTCATTTTTCTGTCAGTTAGGAAATTTTTCATCCATGTTAGTAGCTTACCTCTTACCCCTCCAATATGTTCCAGTTTCCAGAACAACCTCTTATGGGGAACTCTGTCGAAAGCCTTTTTTAGGTCCAGATAGATGCAGTTAACCCAACCATCTCTTTCCTGTAAAATCTCTGTGGCTCGATCATAAAAACTCAGTAAGTTCGTTATATAGGATCTTCCAGATCGAAAACCATACTGTCTGTCTGATATTATATCGTTTTCCTCTACAAGCCTCAACACTATGTGTTAATGCTTGCCTGTGCTTCCTGCCAGCTAAGCCATTCATTTTAAAAACTAATAACCTTGATTTAATGCTGTCTAGTTGTTACTAATAAATTAAATTTATATTATAATAAACTAAATCCAATTATTTAACAATATACCAGACATTTTAAATCCCAATTAAATAAATGAAATTAAACTAACCCCAATATTATGTGTACCCAAAAAGTTTAAAGTAATATACAGTCCACTACTCACCACAATTAATAACAAATTCACCACAGATAAGAAGGTTGGGCATTCTGCAACACCAGATGCTGAGAGCTTTAATCTTTGTTAATATTACATTCAGAGATAAACTGTCTGCAGGAGCAGACAGTTTATCTGTCATAAGATAATCTGCAGCAGGGAGAAGGAGCCTGTTCAGGTATCATAAACCAGGTCCAATTAGCCAGAACCTGAAAAAACACCAACTAAGACACTCCCCAGGAGATGAGAAACTCAAAGTAAGCCAACTGAGAAAGACCCTAATACTTGGCTGGTACACAAGCCAGCCGATTGGGAGCCCAAACCAGCCAGAGAAGACGGAATGCAGACCCCCCCCCCCCATACAGGTGAAGATGTTAAATGACTATCAAGTCAACCTAGTAAAAACCTTGGGTCCTACATGGAATCCAGCCAATCCTCTGAACACTGGATGTACTGAATATGACATAAGACATTCTAAGGGTTGAGGGGAATAAGCTAAGACCTACTCAAAAGTACCTGGAACATGGTGGACAGAGAATGTACCTGTTGATACCCAAGAAGTCAAGAATAAAGAGAGGCTCTGATGTGTATCACTTGGGAACAGGACACAGCCAGAACTACTGCCACAAGGATGTCATCACTACAACCACCACTTTGCCCACGCATCTCCGAAGTTCAGAAAATACATTAAGGCACCAATTGCCTAAATAATGAAACACGCAAGACGCACACCCCCTTTATCCTGGTGAAACGGTATAGGACATCACTTGGTCATACCACATCAAGTTAACCGAGATCAATGTAACACCACACAAGGCCCAAATCAGCCTACACACTTCCTGGCAATATTCAGAGTAATTGTGGAAGAATCAACTCTTGTAGCTACTAATAGCTGGAAGAGACAAGTTACCATAAACCTGTGAATGAGCAAAGGTACCCATTTGTGTGCGAATTCCTGATTTCACTTGCCTACAACCCAGCTAGGAAACTGCCGCATACAATCTTGACCACACAATTGATAAATTCCACACAGGAATTGATAAAATCGATAGGGAAGATTTCACGAGACCTGGAACTTAAAGAACAAAGAGGTCATAGATTTAAACTAGCTAAACACAGATGCCGAAGAAATAAGAAAATTCACTTTCGCAAACAGAGTGGTAGACGGTTGGAACAAGTTAGGTGAGAAGGTGGTGGAGGCCAAGACCGTCAGTAGTTTCAAAGCGTTATATGACAAAGAGTGCTGGGAAGACGGGACACCACGAGCGTAGCTCTCATCCTGTAACTACACTTAGGTAATTACACAAGCCTCTCTTGTGGAAGTCAATCGCCACCTGTAGTCTTACATTGCACCTCACTGCTCCTCCCAGCAACTTGTGTGCTCTAGAAGCCACATGCAGGTTATACTGGGTGCACAACGAAATCCCAAGAACATGATTTTTATGAGAAAATATTTTATGATGACCAACCACACACCAGAAGAGGAAGAAACAATGACGTTTCGGTCCATCCTGGACCATTATCAAGTCTCATGTCACATATGACTTGATAGTGGTCCAGGACGGACCAAAACGACGTCGTTTCTTCATCTTCTGGCGTGTGGTTTGGTCATCATGTCTTCAGCCGTTATGTGACTCATCATCTGCAAAATATTTTATTATGCAGGATATCTGAGGTGTGTATCTTCATAACAGCAGCTACCAACATGGTAATTTGAACAATGTACCTTCACTTGTATTTATTTGATCTCGTGCCAGAGACACGAGTGTCATCCAGTTATAGTTCACCATCAGTTGTACTAGTGGCCACAACCTTCCATACAGATGAACCTGCCTTTTTGGCATGGCTTTTCCTCAATATTCATTACACTCGACTCATCCAAATCTGAGGACTAGGGATTCTGGTCTGTGTGTCTGGTAGAGCAATGAGTCTGGGACACCAGGTAATATGGTACTGGTCCTGGAGTGACAATTTATATAGTTGGAAGCCATGGAAGAAACCACTCCAGAAAACTAGATCAGTGAAATTTTACATCACACATTTTATGCTGAAAAAAATATTTTCTCCTAATTTTCTTATACATGTATAATCTGGATTTTTTTTTTTTAAATTATCGTAATTCCGTTCGTAAGTACATTTCACATTTTAATATGTCACTGCAGTACAGCATATTTGAAGTTATTGTACTGACATTTATCGAGTTTCGTCTTATATGACGGTGAAGGTTTTATGGTTGTAGTGGCTGAAAAAAATGGGCTGCCTACTGAGGACCAGTGACCTTTCTCTAAATAAAAATTAAACAAAATTATCAAATATTTTGGCTGTTCTAGAAACGTTAAAATTTCATTAGTGTCTATGAACATTCACGCTAACATAAATTTACCTTTCAATTCTGCGATGTCAGCTTCCTTTTCTATTAATTTTGTTTCTAGTGTAGTTTTGACTACTTGAAGCTCCTGGAGCAACTTTTGATGATCTGATAATTCTTTATCCATAATTTCTGTCTCTGAGCACTTATCTTTATACTCAACAAGCATTCCATTAGTTTTTTCTAGCTCTATGTTCAGAGCGTCATGTTCACCGATTAATTTATCCAGTTCAGTTTTCATGGAAACTTTCTGAGCCTCAAGTTCACTAATTTGCATCACACTTTTACTATTGAATTTTTTCTCAGCATCACACACTGTTCTAAGTATCTCTAGTTCCAGATTTTGTTCATCAGATTTTAGCTTTATTAATTCACATTCCTCTTCTAACAATTTCTTACATTTAAGTTCCATCTCAATTCTTTCATGTAGCTTTATTTCAGATTCTATTCTTCTGTCAAGAGTGCTCTTAATTTTGTCAAGCTCCTCATGCAACACTTCATTTTTACCCACCAATTCTTTAATTTCAGAGTTCTTTGAAAGGATTTCTTGTGAAAACTGAAGTTGTATTGATTCATTCTCAGATTGAAGTTTATTATTCAGCAAATTATTATTATCAATGGTTTCTTTGAGGCTGGAAATTGTAATTTCTTTATCTGCTGTCACTGCTTCAATTTCAGTTATTTTCTGTTTGAACTCTTTTTTCATCTGTGAAATTGAGTTTTCCAAAGAGTCTATATTTTTCTGCATCTGTGTTGTGTTAACTTCAATCAAAATCTTATGCTTTTCTTCCATCTTATTTAACTTGTCTTGCAAATGTTCTTTTTCCTTTTCTGTTTCTTCTTTTTCTCGCTGCATTTTCTCCAGAGTTTCAGATAACTCATGACATCTAGTTTTTATACTTGTGTACTGAGCATTCTCTACTTCTGCATCCCTCAATGCAGCTTCTAAAGTAACCATCTTATCTTTCAGTTCAATTGTGTTCTTCTCAAGTTCTTGTACACAACTATTCTCAGCCAACGTTAGCTCCTGAACTTGCATTTCCAGAAATCTAATTTTTTCGTCACTCTCTAGTAACTGACTCAGGAGAGTATTTCTCTCATTCATGGCACTTTCACTGTTAGCTTTCAAGGACGATAAGTTCAGCTGCTCAGCGGCTCGCTCCTCCTGCACACTAATCAACTTGTTGTTCAGCTAGAAAAAAAGAAAACATGGCATTTTAGAAATAAATGCAGAAAATAAAGTTTTCATTCATAACCTAAAACGTAATTGATTTGAAAACGGGAAATCATTTGAAATGGCATTTATACTTCACAGTATTTATATCTTAAATCACATAATTATGCACATGCTAGTTTCCTAAAAGCTGCTACCACAATAATAATGAAAAAATTATCAAATTAATACTTATTTCTGAATTACTTAATTTTCATCAACAAATTACATGCTACATTTTTACTTGTAATGCACTTAACTGGGAGCAATAATCACCTCATTGATATTATCCTTTAAGTGATTATGCTCTCTCTCCAGCACACCATAATCTTTCTCCAGCTGAGCATTGACTTGTTGCAAGTGGGAGAACAATGATTTAGATTCTGCGAGCCCATTACCAAGACGGTCTCTTTCCTCACTTAATGCCTCTTTCTCCAGCTGCAACTCCATCACTTTCAATTCAGCTGCTCTCAGGTCTTTGGGCAAGTCAACTGAATTGGAGGAAGTTTGGGCTCTGTTTGATTTAAGTTCAGCAATCTCCAACAGCAACCTGCTTTTATCCCTGTCAGAAGAAACACATTTTCATTATAAATTCCTAAATTGAAAACATTTATAACATACATATATAGTGTAATTATATCTATGAGAAGTTCAAGTACAGCACTTGGTAAAACAATTAGCACTTCAGTGTTGTGATGCATTTTACCATCACCTGCACTCTGATGCTAAACGTTCCAATGATGCTAAACACCTCATTCATCTTGACATTACTGAAAATTACTCTTTCATTCATTTTTTTATGGAGTACAGAACGGTATAGTTCATCAGGGGATCAACCAAAGCACTGGGACCATCTAGAGATCACATCATCCAACCACTTATCACTCAAAACGATAATTTACTTAGATTGTGAATATATTAGCAATTCATTGCAAATTAACTGCCATAAAAGTATGAAAGTTATATTTGATTTATTTTAACCGAGATACTGACCGGTAACGTGCGCACATTTCCATATTTTATTTTTATTTATGTTAACAGATGAGGAATGCTGAAAAATATAAGACGAATGTTGAAATGTTTATAAAACTTATGTTCAGCACTGTCATGCATAGTCTATTATAAAGACCCATTTTGTATTGCATCTATACATACTCTATCAAATTCATTTGCAAGCAGACACCAAATTTATAGTTATAACTCAAAACTAACCAAGAAACAAAAATAGATTATCAACATTTTTGGCATCACTGAGCAGGACCAAAAATTTCAGTCCTGCTCGGCAGGACCGAACATTTACGGTCAGGAACGTGCCGACAGGCCAGAACGCTAGTGTTAAGGAAAGCAAATCTTAAGCAATCTCCTTTTCACCAGTAATCATTTAAGTAGAAAAGAAATGAGGAAATATATAAATAGCATTTTTCTTATCATTTGTCTTTTCATATTATAAAAATATAATATAAAATATACCTGAGATATTCCTCTTCAAGTTGCTGTTTTTTCACCTCCAACTTCTCCAACTGCTTACAGCATTCTTTATGTTCCTTCACCATCATGCTAGATAACTTCTGAAAGTCATGCAAATAAATATTAAATGTTATGAAATACATTGTAGCATGAATCCTTTAAATATGACACACTGCCTCTACAAATGAGTGTGTACTGCATTACCATCTTACTTTATGAATGCTAAACTAAACTGTTTTAACCCAAGGATTAATATTGTACATATATTAATGGCTGGAACAAGTTAAGTGAGAAAGCAATGGGATACCAAAACTGTCAGGAGTTTCAATTAATTTCTCTCTATCACACATGACTTGATAATGGTCCAGGACAGACCAAAACATACGTCGTTTCTTCATCTTCTGGTGGTGTGATTTAGTCATCAGGCAGGCTTTTGTTCCCTGTGCCTGGTAGGTCATGGTAAGGTCATGAGATGGTTATGGCCCCAGGTTTACTAGTGCATGCCTCTGGGGAGGGGGAGGGGGGGGCCACCTCTGGGGAGGGGGAGGGGGGGGGGCCACCCTAGAACAACAAGGCATCTTAACCAAGCTATGCTACGAATCCTTACCTGTGATGACAATTGTTCCCGCAACTCGTCAATATGCAGGTCCCTATCATCTACCTGTGCAGCCCGCTGACTCACTATTGCTCTAGCTGCTTCTAATTGATTTTCTAACTCATTCAAGCTCATCATCTGAAAAAACAATAAAACTTCTCAATAAATATTCTCTCCAAAACATCCTCACAAAATTAAAAATAAATACTGTAACTTACCCAAAGTCACGTAAATTTATTTTTGGTTATCTTACCCAGTAATTAATCTTCCACGTTGAAACTACAACTGCACACAAGTGTGTTGGTGCACAGCACTTTCCTGAGACAAATATCTCACGAGCACTCTTGCCGTAGTACAATGAGTGCTTTCTCTTTACTGTACTTAGTTACCAAAGTATACACAATGCAACAGGCAACATGTACACTGTTAAAAATATTGTCAACACTAAGACTTCCATGCAAGTTTGAGTGAGTGAGCGAGTCGAGTTGAGTTGAGTGTGTGTCACATGCCAATGTAAGAATAAAGAAATAGCTGTTCATTTGTCTATGAGGATGGAATATTAATTACAGCTTTACAATAAGGTGTGAAGGATAAATGAAATTGTTTATGTAATAATCTAAAATGAGGTCTGATAAAGACCTTTTGTGCCCTCTGTAATGCTTTTTGCGCTACCGCTCACAGGAAGAGTATGGGGTGCACAATAAACTAGCCGCCTCCGGCAGCAACAAACAAGAGCTTTACAATTAAGTTCAATGGGTGTCCACAACAACACATCAGCTAGTCCCCGTTTATGGTACTGTGTGGCAGATCATCCAAGCACTTAATAAAATGAAGTGTATTAGAAGAAAAAAGTTTGACAGTCAGTAGCACAATGCCTGCCATTTATTAAATCTAATAAAATTAACTATCATAATGCACTATACTTTAATTATATATACTACTGATAATGTACTATACTTTAATTATATATACACCAAATATTCAAAACCATGAAAATCAATAATAAAACATTGTAAACAAACATTTAAAGAGGTAAAACACCACATGTAGGTTCACTAACTGTACCATTCAGATATTCTGAAACATCTAGATTCACTAAACTGGCATGGCATTCTTATATATTCACAAACTAATAATTAATGCACAATAATACAGTATGACTCCCAGCCTTTACTAATATTTAATGAGCTTTGTGACAGTAAACAAAAAACTAGAAAATGAGCTTCAAACAAATTCTTCCACCGACAGTGAAAACTAACGACGATGGTTTTCTATGATACAGCGGCTATTTGGTCAGCACTTGTCTAGGGTGGAGAACCTCCAAGATACCCTGGGATGGCAAACCACACCAATGCTCTCCTACAAATTATTTAAATAAATTTCACACTCACCTGATTGGTAGTTATCTTTTCGTTCATCTCCAGCTTCTTGGTCAAACTATCACACTCCTGATCCTTGGCAATATATGCTTCAGCAGCTTCATACAACATATCCTTTAATTCCTGTTTTTTGGAGCACAACAAATTAACAAGTTTAATACATTTCAAACAGGATACACAGTAAATTGTTTTCTCCTAGACATTAATGATTTAAAGGAGTTTTAATGTTCGGACATATAACAAAATAGTGACCATTTGTATCTTCCACTAACACGTCCTGGCATAACTGGAATGTATTTGGTTTTTGTTCAGGCAATCAAATACATTATTTTCCACTTGCTTCATGAAGGGAAATGAACATGGGGAAAAGAATGTTGTTTGACTCACCAGCCCCACACACGGTTTTCAGGACCAGTCAAAGCTCAACCCCCGCAAGCACAACTAGGTGAGTACACGTGGGAAGGTAGAAATGACGGAAGTACAAAGACACGCACAATGGAAAAACGTTTCAGTAAGGATTTTAGATGATGCCATAATACCACCCAACCATGGATGAACATTGTAACACTGCCAAGTGCAGCTCAATTAATGGTAATATTAGAGTGGTACAATATGGACAGTAGGTAAGGCATAGAGCTGTACCTCGCCACCATACTTCCCAGAAGTGAATTGTAACGAGAATGAGCCTCGGATGAAAGCTAAACAATACCTCCTAATGAGACCTAATATTCTACTAGCTTTCTTGATATCAGATCATCACACACTATCACTATGTAAAGTGAATTTTCAAGTCCAATCTTTTGAATGGTATAAACTTGCTTATGGTTGCAAAGTGCTTACAATAATCAAATTCTTTAACCGCAATCTGATTATACTCTAATTGGATATCCAAGAGATCCCCCTTCATCTAGTTAAGGTGGTCTAGGTTCGTCTGTCCCATTTGGGTAGTATTGTAGAGAAAGTGGGAGGGTAGGGGTATTTAAGCTATAGGATGTGTAGATGTGTATTTTGGGTAGGTAGAAAGCATGAGAACAAGATGTAGTTGTCTCTTTTCTGCCTAAACCTGTGGAGAAGTCCATGGCACCATGAGGCCTAGCAGCCGATCTATGAATTATATTCTAGCAGGAAGGAGACAGTGGTGCCTCTATCTCCTTCCTGCAACCACATCTTGTTCCCATGCTCTCTGCATTAATTGCTTTGAACCCAGAGGAAGTACTTGTCTTCCATTTCAACTTCTGGAAACAACGCTTCCCTTAGTTCAGCATATTTAAGCACACTAATATAATGAATAGTCAAAACAAGCTGAATCATCTGCATACCATTCGTCATTATTGGAAACCACAGATAGAAGAATGGGGCAAAGACATTTGCTCCATTGCCAGGTGTTGAATTAAGTGATGCAGTTAAATTAGCACTTTGGCATCGTGATGACGTTCATGCAGGCAATAAAACAATACACGTAGTTCGGGACATGACGTTAATGCCGGCATAAATTAATTTTTGCTTATTCTTATTAGCAAGTGTAAACATTGGGTTGTGTGCTCACGGCCAATGCCTGGCCTACCTTGTGGTGCACTGCAGGTGGCCCGCCGCGCCAGCAAGGTGTTAAAATGTGAAGTGAACCACATGGGTTTGAGGTGGAAGCCTGCAAGGGCATTATTAGTAATGCTATACCTCTCTTTCCATTGCCAGTTCCACTCGTGAATCACATAAGGGACACTTAATGAACCAAGGAGTCCATCATGTACTCAGAGGTTCAGCATGTCATTAATGCCAGGAACAGTCAGCCTGGCTGTATGTGGCTCCAACTAGTGACCCGAGGAACGTTGCGCCAGAACAACCTGTCGTATTCCACGATACCACATACTTGTGCCATGGGAGGAACATGTATTTATTGTGAGCAGTGCTTTGTGTGTGAGAAGTGAATGCACAAGTACTGTATTCTAATGTTATTTGAAATGGGAAGCTCAGAATTATTGCAATTAATACAACAAAAATTATATATTAATTACAAACCTTTATTTCATTATCTTTAACTTCCAACAATGCCATCTTGTCATCTAAACGATGTTGAAGCTCTTGAATAACCAGGCTCTCCGTGCCAGAAGAGGCCTGACTCACACGTCTTGTCTCTTCCTGGAGAATCCACAAATTGTTATACAACTTTATACTATACACAATATTCATATACTAAAACCCTTCCATTTGAAAAACACCCCATTTATAATTGTCACATGATGGAACCATTTACAAGAGAACTATGCATTACACAATGAACTCTGAATGATTCTACACTATAAGCAGACAGGTGAAGAATTCACAACGTACTTAGACAAAGAAATGACATTATGTGGAGTGAGATATCAGCCTCAGTAGGCCTAAGTATAGTTCTAAATTTATAAATAAAAGCAGAAGCATGAGAGAACTTGTGTAAAAGACAACAGTCAACTGTAATGCAGTACTGTACTGAAAAGTGTAGCCACAAGTAACTTACATGCCTGTATGAACACAGGAGTGCATGCAGAATTACTCCTCATATCCAAAGTGAGGATATGCCAATTATTGCTTTCATTCTGGCTCACATTGTAAGTCGTGCATATTATTTTAAATTTATACCAATTAAATACTGAGGCAGTTTATTTGTTCTAAATATATCAGATTTACTCCTAACAAAGCTGGTCCATGACAGCCAGATTGTAGACAAAATCTGCATTCACTGGACAGTCACTATAGAATTTGCTAATTTACTGTAAAATACATAAATTATCTTGGTATTAATTTTCCTTCCCAGTCTGCATATCCTGTATGTTATTACAACAAATTTCAAAACAAAAAAATCTCACCAGTTCCTTGGTGACCTGGTCAAATTTTTGGGTCAGTTGTGCAAGTTGAAAAGTAAGCTTGGAATTTTCTCCTTGACATTTGGAATTTAGCTCTGTAGTCTTCTTCTGAACATTCTTTAGTGCTTCAACTTCATCCATCAGATGTTTCTTCTCAGATTCCAGCTCTGTGATATATTTGGACTGTTCCTGTTGAGCAAAAAAATCAAGGTGGAACTATATATGATAATTCTACATGAACTTTTATAGGTTTTGGAAAAATACCATAGCTAACAATTAAAATATATTCTGCTTATAGTCTACTGGTAGCCAAGATCCAGAGTAAATCATCCATCTATCAACATATGTTTTTGGAATGAACTCTGTGTAGAAACATGCTAATTGTGAAGTGACCAGTCATACAGGGTGTGGCAGTGACCAGTCATACAGGGTGTGGCAGTGACCAGTCATACAGGGTGTGGCAGTGACCAGTCATACAGGGTGTGGCAGTGACCAGTCATACAGGGTGTGGCAGTGACCAGTCATACAGGGTGTGGCAGTGACCAGTCATACAGGGTGTGGCAGTGACCAGTCATACGGGGTGTGGCAGTGACCAGTCATACGGGGTGTGGCAGTGACCAGTCATACGGGGTGTGGCAGTGACCAGTCATACGGGGTGTGGCAGTGACCAGTCATACGGGGTGTGGCAGTGACCAGTCATACGGGGTGTGGCAGTGACCAGTCATACGGGGTGTGGCAGTGACCAGTCATACGGGGTGTGGCAGTGACCAGTCATACGGGGTGTGGCAGTGACCAGTCATACGGGGTGTGGCAGTGACCAGTCATACGGGGTGTGGCAGTGACCAGTCATACGGGGCGTGGCAGTGACCAGTCATACGGGGCGTGGCAGTGACCAGTCATACGGGGTGTGGCAGTGACCAGTCATACGGGGTGTGGCAGTGACCAGTCATACGAGGCGTGGCAGTGACCAGTCATACAGGGCGTGGCAGTGACCAGTCATACAGGGCGTGGCAGTGACCAGTCATACGGGGTGTGGCAGTGACCAGTCATACGGGGCGTGGCAGTGACCAGTCATACGGGGCGTGGCAGTGACCAGTCATACAGGGCGTGGCAGTGACCAGTCATACGGGGTGTGGCAGAGACCAGTCATACAGGGCGTGGCAGTGACCAGTCATACAGGGCGTGGCAGTGACCAGTCATACGGGGCGTGGCAGTGACCAGTCATACGGGGCGTGGCAGTGACCAGTCATACGGGGTGTGGCAGTGACCAGTCATACGGGGTGTGGCAGTGGCCAGTCATACGGGGTGTGGCAGTGGCCAGTCATACGGGGTGTGGCAGTGACCAGTCATACAGGGTGTGGCAGTGACCAGTCATACAGGGTGTGGCAGTGACCAGTCATACAGGGTGTGGCAGTGACCAGTCATACAGGGTGTGGCAGTGACCAGTCATACAGGGTGTGGCAGTGACCAGTCATACAGGGTGTGGCAGTGACCAGTCATACAGGGTGTGGCAGTGACCAGTCATACAGGGTGTGGCAGTGACCTGACCTGAGGTAAGGTTGTATTAAGTGAGGTCAGCTCTCCTCTACCACCCAGTAAAGCCATTACCGTCATCCCCTGCTCAATTCAGTTTACATACAATGACCTAAATAGGATTTAATGACATAAATTAAAAGGTCATTATTTTATAAATATAAAATGTGCAAAATCAGGGGAATTTTTATGGCTTTTATTAAGATCATGAAGCTAACATGGCAGAAATAACCAAGTGCCACACAGAGCCCTTATCAAACAGACTTGCTTCACCTAGAACAATGAAAAGATAAAGAAAAAGAATATCAACAAAATAAATCCCAAAAGAACTATTAACAAATAATATGGCAGACGAAGGAAGACCCGATGTTGGAACAAAACAATTTAAAAAGCAGCAGTCAACTCATTTTAGCCCGAGTCGGCAGGGGCTGTTCAAATGTCAAAAAAATTTCAAAGAAAACACAAACAGCTTAGAAAATCTCAACACAAATCCTTACAAGGAGCTTGGGTACATTGTTGTTATCTTTCTCACCGAGATGAAACTGAACACGCACGGTCCTGAATCTGTCTCGGTAACTATTCAACTGCTGCCATATCTTAAGTATCAATGTATTGTACTGATCTGCATCCTACCACACTTATCTTGTGCATTTTGGACAACTTTTTTTTTCAAGGAGCACATTACTATATTATATGTACAATCTTAGAGAGAAATAGGTTTTGATTTGAATAAAGATTTGATTTAGTTTACATTTATATTTTATTTTATTTTATTTTAAAAATTAAATTGGATTTAAGACACATTCGTCATAAGCATAGAGGGTTTATGGTATTAAACAAAGTATTAAAATGGCATTAAAAAGCATTGTAAAGGACCTTGGATAATCATGTCAGACGACCTTACCTTTACAGTTACAGAACACTATAAAGTAGCTGTCACGACTGCAAGAAAAATGACAAATTGGATAACAAGGACCTTCCAAACAAGGGATGCCATACCAATGATAATACTTTTTAAGACACCAATGCTCTCTGGAGTGGAATATTATTGCACTTCAACAGCCCCATTCAGAGCCGGAGAAATTGCTGACCAGAAGAGCGTGCAAAGATCCTTTACCACTGGAATCCACTCAATAAGTCACCTTAATTATTGGGACTGTTCGGACGTAGGTTGCAATTTTTACCACTTGGTTGATTCATATTGTTTTGCCTTCCCCGGTCCATGGCAGACATGACATACTCTAAGTGTAGAGTGCTCATAATGGTCATTGCTCCCTGCACCTCTCTGAGTGGACCATGTTCTGGCTCTGGTCTCCGGTACGCATACTGAACTCCCATGACTGATGAATCCAAACCAATATGGCACATGTCAGTTTTGATCGCTTCTGGGAGCCTCCAAGGCTCACCCAGAAAATGGCATTTCATTACAGTCAACGCTTGGCTTTTTAAACCGACAACTTCAAAAACAAGCTAAAGAAGGAAAGAAACAAAAAAAATATTAGAAAGTTTCCTTTTGCAAACAGTGGTAGACAGTTGGAACAAGCTAAGCAAGGTGATGGACGCCAAAACCATCAGTAGTACCAAAGCACACGACGAGACACCACGAGCGTAACTCATCCCGTAACTACATTTAGATATTTACTAAACGGAAAGAAATCATACGCAATGGAGTCATTTATATACAGTATTTAATATTTTTTTTATTCCAGTGAAATGGTCTCTACATCAACTTACCTGAACTTTGTGCTGTTCCTGAAAATAGGTGAGTGAAGAGACATATTCCTCATCAGGATCATCATCTGGTCTAAACCGTTTGTGGATGTTGATCTTTTTGGCCGACTTCAGAAGCGCAGTAAGTCTCCATTCTGTCAACTCTTCAGATCTTGCCTGTTGATCTTTCAGACGTTGGCTAATGAAAAATGACTACTTAATTATACAAGTCCATCATATTTAACTGTAAAGAAGTCTTACAAAACTATTCACACTAATTTTATCTTTTTGTGTTATCCAGTCTCCAGGATCATATAATAATCCACAAAAGTCCAATTATCTGACAACGTTGAACACAGAGTGTAAGATACCCAAGAAAGCTAGGTACCTGGATAAGTTATCTGGAAACCAGATGGTTTGCATTTTCCAGATTAGTAGAACCTCGCAGTACTGTAGTTGAGATATCATCATACCCCTTTTCTCGTAAAAATACAAAATTAATTTTTTTCCCGAAATGAATGATAACTTTAAAAAAAAAAAGCACTGAATGTAATGAAATGCCCCTCTGCTAAAGCATATGTGGCTTCCTGAAGCTATCTTGCTGAAATGGCTTCCAACTACCGAGTCGCATTAGTCATACAAGTTCTATTTGGCTTACTGGATAGAGCCAGAACCTGGCCCGCCTCATAGAGGGGCAGTGCTCCAGAGGAGGAGGACCAAAGTGATGTCCCCATGGTTCAGGAAATGAAGCACCAGGGAGCAGTCAAAATGGAGCCGAAGGATGAAGCCCATAGAAAGGTGAAACCTCAGAAGGGCCTGCCTCATTGCCCCAAACTCTCGCCCAGTGCTGTGCAATCGACAAAGCGGGCTTGACCATCTACCTTAGGAGGCCTGGTGAGTGCTGGTCACAAAGCCCCAACCCAGAACTAAAACAACTGTGAGTGGGGGAGGATGCCACCACAGAACCAAACCCAAAAAAACTCAAAGAGGAAGCTGGCTAGCTAAAGCTGATGAAGGACATGCAGGTAGCAATCAGATGGTTCCAAAAGTGGGAAAAAAAAAAAGGTCAGAACCAGCATGAAGACCCCCATGAATAGAGCCTTCATTCCAAGATGGATAATGTCAGCAACAACCAAAGGAAGCTCAAGAGTGAGAATCAAACTTTGCTGGAGGCTTACCCAGACCAACAGTAGACTGGGCCACGACCCAGCCGGACTCTTCTGCAAAAAGAGCCTGATGGAGGGCTAAAACGCCAATGCAGTGGGGCCAAAAGAACTTCGGAGATGGCCTCCTCAGGAAAGAGAGAGAGGTGGACAAAAGGGTTAAGGACCAGGCTGAATCTAAAAACTTGGCAACACAGCCTGCCAACCTGAAAGAGGGAAGGAGGAGCAAATCTGGCAGAGGTGCCCAAGCCAGAACTGCAAGTAACAAAGCAGCCATCAAGAACAGATACCAGAATGTTCAAACAATCACAGCTGATCCAATAACAGCTCTACAACTGCCCAAACATGGAAAATGGCTGCCAAGAGGGTATAAGTCATGTGGTCCGCTGCAGAAAGTGATCCTGAGAGAGCATAGGAAGTTGCACAAGCTGCTATTTGCCAATGTTCTTGGCAAGCACTTGAGCAACAAGCAGTTCTCAAGCATTGCAAAAGGAACACGCCCAAGAACACCTAAAAAACAGAACTCGATTCCCACCACTCAAGTATCTGGGCTCTACAGAAGCCATACTAAGCCCCTAAAAATAAAGAAGGCTGTCAGACAGCCAGGATGAATCGGAAATCTTATACTAAAGCCAAAAAGCAGCAGCAAACTCGGACAAGGCTAGGTCCACCAAGGAAGCAACGTCTGGATTCTGCATGAAGAGCCGATAAATGTCTGTCCACAATAAAGAAAGTGCAAGATAATTGAGTTGTCAAATGATGGACTGAAGAGTCACACCACTAATTCACACGGAAGTTACCAGAGCTTAAAGGATCTTAAAGCAGAACACCCAGTAACTAGGAACATTCCCCAAAACAAACAATGAATGCAATCTCAAGACTAAACTGTGCTATGAAGGGTTTTCACAGCATTCCACATGAATGACAGTACAGCAGAAGTGCTGTAGATAAACAAATATTAAAAATCAGGAAGGATAAACTAGCAAATGCCCTACACAAGATAAAGTTCGAAGGATGGCTGGCCCTTACCCAAGTAAAGAAGTGGGATTTGTTATGATGAGGCAATTCGGGTCCAGGCAACACTTATACATCAGCTGACTACAGGGCTGACTACTAGTTCAAGCGTAAGACTGGTGTTCTCGGGGCGCCACCATTTGCACTAGGTGGTTCGAGCTAATTTCAAGTAAATCAATTGTTTTCAAAAAGTTGTTTGTGGATTCATTTAGCTGTTTTGGTGTTTTATTTTCTGTTAAGCTTGTAGGCGTTTGTATCGATTCACTTACTTGATGAATGCTCTCTCAAGTCTAGATGATCGTAATAATCATCAGCTCTCGGCGCCTTTGAGTGCGCACCAGGTCCTGGCTCTCGTCTCCATTAGAAGAAACAGGACTCTAATGACCGAGTCAGTAGTGGGAAGCCATCTCTGAGATAGTTTGAGGGAGCCACCAAGAAATCCTATAATAGCCCAAATACAGCCTAATTTAAGCAATGATCCTAAACTCTGAAATGCAGATACAGAGAAACACAAAGATAGTTGTATGATAATTGCTTCTAAAGTGCTAATTTTCAATTAATTTTACTCGCAATTTGGAGTGTATACACAGCATGAATGCCAGCGCTCTGTCATTATTATTATTATTATTATTACTACGATATTCCCACCATCATGTGGTGAGGAAGCATCAGCGCAGACAAAATAGGAGAGCAATACTGTGTAATCCCCTTATTTAATACTGTACAGTACTCAGTACCTGGAAAACCATACATCTTGAAAACTGAAAGATCATGCAACATAACTGAAGCTAAGCAACGCTGGCCGTGAGGCAGCTTCAGTCATCTCTCCACACCAAAACTACTTTACATGACATTTCCCAGATTTACTTATTTGATTCTCAAGTTAATAAGAATTTTTTTATTAAATCTTTTACTTTATTCAAGGTGACACAGCATGGATAGTTACATTTAACAAGATTATGAAAACACTACCCAGCAGAGGATGTTGTGATCATCTGTACATCACAAACAAACCATTTCCTTGATTATTAACCCTTAGACAGAAATTATTGCCATATTGGTTCATGGGGTAATGTAGTTCTAATACAAGATAGTTATGTAGGTGGCGCATTGGTGACTTATGCTGTTGTTTCAAGCTATAATGTTGTCAAAATGGTGCCGATTAAGCCCCGTGTTATCACCCCGAGCTCAACACCCATATATGCTAAGTTTAAATGGCTTAGACTACTCTATATGATTATAATGAGGTATACCAGGTAAACTAATCATCAATTTAAACATTATCAAGCATTATGTGGTTTAAGAAGTTATTCAACACACACACACACACACACTTGTAAATAACAAGACAAATGACAAAGATTGCTGGAGTGTTCGAGGAGAACACAGGAATTGCTTTCCCCCATACTTCAGTGTCCGCAAAGTCAGCATTGTGTGCCGAGACACACCAGAGCACACGGCAACCATGCAACCTTCAGTACACCTCCATCCAGTATAAAAGCAAATATTCACTTTTTGTTTTAACATACAAATTGATCATTCTATAATCAAATATTTGGGGAAGGGGACGAGTGATTTTGCACATAGGCAGATATGACCATTTTTCCAAAGCCGACGTCCAAGGGTTCATGAATTTGGGGTAATTTATTTCTCCAAGTATTAGCAAAGCTATGTATTTATTATGTGTATACCTTTATGTCCGGTAAAATAGTGTGAAGAGGTTGACATATAGCTGAGTGAGGGAGCCAGAACTGGCATAGCTCACCAGCAGATAATGTAACAGAATTCCTAGTTTCCAACACTACCTTTGTTATGTGATGCACATTTACATTAGTAAATTACACAGTTTAGGCATGCTTAAATCATTTAGTTATACCTTGACAAAGGCAGTGTGCGCGCGCAAGTGAAACTGAGGACAGAAGGGGGTAAGCCAAGAATACGGATAGATAGGCAATAAGGGCACGACAAGTGGTGGGGAAATAGATGCTTAATACTTTTAGTTAGACCAATATGGGAAGCATGCATCTATTAGGGGCAGAAGGTGGCAAGCTACTACTCTAGGGGAATTGGTCTAAAATAATCTTATGATTATTTTACCATAATTTCCTATATTGCACTTTTATTTCTAATTTTGTTTAAATGTATATTTTTATAATATTTAAAATATTTAAATCTGACTAATGCCTCCTCATCCTATGAAAATAAGAAACTGGTAGTAATATTAATAATATAATAATAATAATCACAAAGAAATCACATTAATGTGATATATATCAATGAGAAAATCCACAACTTTGGCATTGCCAGTCACGATATGTGTAGTTGGAATCTGGTTGCATGACTTTCACAAGTCAATGGTGGTCTAGTGGTAGAGTACACGACTGGCAATGCCGGAGTTGTATCTTTGCGCCCGCCCACAGTCCCCGTGGATTTTCTCAATAATATTATTATTAATTAAGATTACTAAGCTCTAACCTCCAAGAACTTTCAATCTCAACTAATTGCTGGGAGAACTCGGCACACAATTCTTCCCTCAGATGGTCCTCCAATTCAACCTTCTCTTTATAAATTTTCACCAATTCATTTTTGAGACTGGCAATAAGTTGAAGAAGTGCCTGAAAAGAAACAACTTTAATATAATAAAACACCATCTTCTATATTAAGGTTAGAATAATGGAATTTGTTTTCCCCAATACATAAACTGTACACATTTGTTGCCTTAAGATACAGTACTCGAAGGAATGATGCACGATAAAATATTACATTAAGGTGGTTTAATGGGATGAGGTAGGGAGAGGGGCGGAAGGTGTAGTAGGGAGAAATAGGGAGGTAGGGAGAGGGGTGAGGTTTGGTGGGGGTGAAGTTAGATGGGGGGGTAGGTTTGGTGGGCGAGGTAGGGAGAGTATACATACAAAGAAGTGTTACATCATTTGCATTATAAAAAACATAAAAGAATTACCATAAAAAACTGTAATACATTTAGTGACCCCAGAAGATTGTAGTTCCCAATAAGTGTGCAAGTAAGGTGCCTCTGTACCTTTCAAAATTTTGGATCATATGACGAAACACCTTTGTTAACACTTTGGCGTACCCCACGCGCCACCCCTTAACTGTGCGATATGGGACCCAGGGTGTCACGGGAGCGCGCGTAAATTCTGAAAAGTGTATACTCTCTTCAACTTTGTCACCTTAATTCTCGTCCTACGAGATTAAATTTGGTATCATTGTGTTCGCAATAGAATTCTCTACAGCACTAAATGCATATAAACTCCAAAAGCCCGGCTAATTACCCGCAGCAAACAGAGAAAGTGCGAACGAGTTACCCAGGAGAGCGCAAACGCGATAAAATGTTTTCACTATTTTCACTCTGGTCACCTCAATTTTTGTCCTAGGTCTTTCATTTTGGCCTCAATGGGTTCGCAATAGAATTCTCTAGAGGAACATTAGCATATAAAATAAAAAACCTGGTCACGCTCCAACCGCCGAGTTGAAGACGGGCCACGCGTTAGCCGCGAGTGAGCGCTCAGACGCCTTCCAGCTACACTCCCAATTCCCGCCCTTTTCAAGCCTTTCTTTCGCAATTTCCTTCCTGGAAAGGCCTTGTTCATGATCACTATCCATCGTGGAGTAAGCGTAGATAGTTTTTAAAGCCGCAGTAAGAAATATAGCCACGGAAAATAGCCGAAATGTTCACACGTTTGAGATGCGAGGGGAGGCGTCATTGGTCACAACAGTGGAGCGAAAACAATAAGCCCACGGCGTGTGCCAAGCCACCTGAGGGCCACGAGGCTCAACAAAGAAAATGGGAAGACATCGGCACGCATTTTAAAACCAGTCCCCAAAAAATCGGATAAAAACCTGATTTTTGGCGATTATTTAACGTGGATGACGCAATGCTGCGTCATCCCCGGAATTACTGACAGTAAACGGATGACGCAATGCTGCGTCATGCCCGGGCGAAAGTGTTAATTGAACTCGGTGGAATATAGCAGCTAAATTGTTTGATAAAATAAAAGTATCTAGACTGAAGCACCAGCCTAAAATAGTGAAAACCCTTTCCAATACCACAATAGAAAACTATCTCCACTTTTATAACAAAAATGTGAACAAATAAGCAATGAGATCACAATAATGTTATATATATGATAAAACCTTTTGATCAAACCAGTATCCAGCTCCAAAGATTATTTCATGGATATACTGTATCACGTTATTGTGATTTCACCGTGTATTTCAGGAGAGTGTTTGGTGGAGAACTCCATTACCTACACCAGAGCATATGCGGGTTATATATAAAATTTGGATTGGCTACAGCTCGGTGCCTCCAGATTGCAAATGGATCTTGGCGGCTCTAGTTATGTAACCTTTAGCATATCGTGGTCCACGGGATAAGGCGCGTATCTGGGGTCACTCGGTGCACAGGTTTGATCCCTATCCAGCTCCAAAGGCAGCCAGAGGCTTAGGGCCCACACAGGAATATACTCCACCAAAAACGTCAACAGTTTCTTATTGTGAACTAAGAAAAACAAGCTAACCTCGTATCTTTCATCTTGATCATCTTCCTCCACAACATCAGTCTCGTGTTCCTCAGGAATGTCATCACTGAAACAATATTAATTGCAAGGAAATATAATGAGTGATATTATAAATATTGTTTATTTACAGTATCATACATGAATGCTTGTAATCTTATTGGATTTTTTTTATATCAGTGTTTCAAACCCTCAGGTTATTGTTTAGTTGATAAAATCTTCTGAAAGTCATCCTACACATTAGTAACTAATATATAGTCCATTTTGTGCACATTTGTAGCAACCTTAGGGGGAACCTGAACACCAGTCACTAACTTGGTCAGGATAGGGCAGAGCAGACCTTATGTCTGCCCACAAGCACTTCACCTTTCAGCTCTGGATACTTGTACACAATAACATTTACCTCCCCCCTCTCCAAATTTAAAGCATATTTTATGGTCGATTTAAATTGTTAGCTCGATGTAATGTATTCTTTTGGTAACCGACTCAATACCATGTAAACTCATGTGTAACTGAGAACTGACCAAATAAAGAGTAGAAAATTGTGTGAAGTCTATTGAAGTGGTAAACTCAATTGAAAAAAAGTTTATCTTGCTAAATCTCACCACAAGATCAGGAGACTACTGTATGTATGTATGTATGTATGTATGTATGTATGTATGTAGTGAACATTACAAGTAAGAGATCTGTCCTACCTTGCTCCAAATGTGACATCACCGGCACCTTTTACCCAGGGAACAGAAAGGCGTCCAGAGGAATTGAGAGACTGGCGAACAAATTTGGAGAATTGACTGATTCGTTTAGGAGGTTGAATAGAGCAGCGTGCCTCCTTCACTTGACTTATAGCTATCTGAAACCAGAATACACAATGTAAGAGACAAGCACACTTTTTACAAGAAATATTGGACTAAGACAAATTAAATATATAACGTATTGATATATTTGTAATGATTTGGTGAAGACATTTAGTCAACATCTAAAAGAAGGGGTAGGGATGGTTCACATGAATTTCAAATTTGTTGTATAAAGTAAAGTATTACAGGTTGGCTCATTGTGCCATACAATATTTACACATCTCGGCAGCTTTGTTGTCACTTTTAATGTTCAACATTAACAAACTCGGGAAGTAGACAATTTTAAACAGTATGATGTAAACTGTTCAAAACTTGACCACATAATGAAAAAGTTCATATCCAGTGGGAGGAGAACATATGGACATCAGTAAGACAAAGAATTACCAAGAACTACTTACAATGAAGTAAAATACTGTGGGCAAAATAATAAATAAATATTTAAGATATCATACAAACTAAAAAGTGTTGAATGCAACAAAATGTCAATTTCCAGTAGGCCATCAATATATTCCAACTACTAAAATACTGGTAATGTAGTACTAAGCTTTAAGATCATGCAAAGCACCTGAGACCCATGAGACCAAGAGCCAGGAACAGAATTTGACTCAAGAGGTTTTCCAATTCAAGCTTTTCCCATACCTTCCAAGTTGGAGCTTTTTATCTGGCCACATTGCTCTTCTGAAGCCTTTATAAACGGTACACCCATGACTTATATTTATTGGTTTCAGACGATTCTTTTTTCCCGAAATCACATCTCCAAAAGGATATACAACTGGTGTCTCTGCGAAGCTCCATCCATTTTGCTGTGGTGAGCTTGCTTTTTTCTTTAAAGCTTTTTTGTCATGGTCACAACCTGCACGTTGCATCACCAATCTCATGTTTCTGGAGAACCTGCTTGGTACCTGCTTGATGGGGTTCTGGGAGTAGTTGTTCTCCCCAAGCCTGGATGACTTGTGAAAGCTTAGTCCAACAGGCTGTAACATATCCACCACAGCCCGGTTGATCCAGCCCTTCTTTAAGAAAATTATCTAGTGTTCGCTTGAAGATGTCCACAGTTGTTCCGGCAATATATCTTATACTTGCTGGGAGAATGTTGAATAACTGTGGACCTCTGATGTTTATACAGTGTTCTCTGATTGTGCCTATGGCACCCCTGCTCTTCACTGGTTCTATTCTGCATTTTTTCCATATCGTTCACTCCAATAAGCTGTTATTTTACTGTGTAGATTTGGGACCTGGCCCTCCAGTATTTTCCACGTGTATATTATTTGATCTCTCTCTCCCATCTCCTTTCTGGGTGAGTACATTTGGAGAGCTTTGAGACGATCCCAATAATTTAGATGCTTTATCGTGTCTATGTATGCCGTATATGTTCTCTGTACTCCCTCTAGTGTGAATCACTGTATGAACCATCGCCACCCTTCCTAACATCACCGTATATCAAATAAGAGTCCTTGTCATACCTGCTTAGCAATTGCTGAGAATTTTAAGACTTGAAGAGTTTCATCAAAGAGAAGTGGTGTCTTTGAGATATTCACTATCATTGCAGCCTTACCACGACCCAAAAAGAACGTTTGGAACAATCTAGTGAGTCTGCTGTCACGATAAGGAACAGGAATTTCACGCTTCTTGCTCCCTCTGTGAATTTGATTCCGCCTGTTAAAAAAAAAATTATTATTATAGACTAATTATATGCAATAAAAATACAATCTATATTTGAATGCAATACATACATCATCAATAATTGTCATCTCTGAGGAAAGGAATGAAATTGGTTGTGACAAATAGTAAAACAATTTTTGCTACTCTGTAGAGTATGGTAACAAATTGTTCCTAAAAGCAAAGTCAATCTATAAAAATGACAACCATGAATTAAAAAATTACACACAGAAATCACAATGCATCAAATGAACAAATCTACAAGGGCCGTGATGAGGGCTCGAACCTACATCCGAGAGGATCCCAGGCGCTGCCTTAATCGACTGAGTTACATGGTAAAAGAATTTGTAACCGGGAAATCATCCTGACCTACCACGGATCCTGCAGTCTCTCCGAGACACAAACCAGGGTTTTACACAATTCCACCCTGCACCCGAGCTCTGTCAATAGGCTGTTCTACCTCTTTGCCCTTACTTCTGTGTGTAATGAAGTAAGGGCGAAGGGGTAGAACAGCTTATTGACAGAGCTCGGGTGCATGGGGGATTTGTGTAAAACCTTGGTTTGTGTCTCGGAGAGACTGCAGGATCCATGGTAGGTCAGGATGATTTCCCGGTTGCAATTCTTTTACCATGTCGTAGCTCAGTCGATTAAGGCAGCGTCTGGGATCCTCTCGGACATAAGTTCGAATCCTCGTCACGGCTATTGTGGATTTGTTCATTTAAAAAATTACATTACAGGCCAACACAGGATTGGTCAACAAATCATTACAAGGTATATCGGTAGCTTTCATAAGATCTCATTACGAATGTGAACATTAAGCGACTCCAAAGTTGAAGGCCATTTAATAGACTTCAGTAACTCAGGAATACTGTAGTGGTACATGATTGCACATTAAATGTGGTTAGTCACAGAACTACACTTGGTGTCTAGTTTCCTCTACAATCTTTGTCCTATAACTTTTTAAAAATCCCTAAATTTTTAGCACATACTAGCTAGAATTTATGGCCTCTTATTCTCAATGTGATGAGAATAAGATAACACTAATCCTCTTCATCAATTTTGTCGATTGCTGTTACAATTTTATGCATTGTGTGTGATCATACTGGCTCTTTACCTTGTCCTGTAATGCTGGAATATCTAATGCATCATCATAATGCATAACTTTTGAGATATGGATACCATACAACTACCACATTCTAATTTAGGTCTCACATATACAGTATTGCACTTTTTTTAAGAATATCTCCATCCATGAATTTATAACAAATTCAGAAATTTGCCAGAGTGCTGAAGGCAACTTACTATATCTTATTTATTTATTTAGTTATATATACAAGTTCTTACATTCTTGTACAGCCACTAGCAAGCAAAGTGTTTCCGGCAAGTCCTTAATCCCAATGTTCCCATGAATACAACCCACCAAATCGTTTAACAACTAAGTACCCATTTTACTGTTGTGTAAACAGAGGCTACAGTTAAGGATTGGCGCCCAGTAAATCCTCCCCGGCCAGGATACGGACCTAGGCCAAAGCGCTTGCAAAACGCCAGGCAAGTTTGACGTGATCTTCTTGTGATAGTTTATTATCCAATACCACACCAAGACCTCCTTCCTTGCGAGAGTTCTTTGGTGCCTTTGTGTATAATTTGAAGGAAAAATGTAGTGTGGTTTCACTCACTGCCTTTCATTAGACAATATTTATTCACACTTCTAGGCGCTAAACATTATAAATTGTCATCCACACTTCCGTGGATGCCAAGCTGGAATTTTCGACTTTCCCCAACTAAAAAATTTCCTGCTTAGCAGAAGTAGTTGCTTCTGTCATCTTTCCTTATTAAGACTACTCATAGCCCAGTCGATAGAGCTTCTACCTCACACACGTGGGGTCCACAGCTCGAGTCTCCTAGAGCCCAGGTGAATGAAACCGCTAAACATTCTTTGACCCCCAACAACAACCCACTGCATAGGGACAAAGACAAAAGAAAGCCCATATCAGCTGAGTGCTCTTCTAAGATAGGACCTTTATATGTATACTGTACAGTGCACTACAGTGCACACTACAAAATCCAGAAACCAAATTAATAAATATTTGACTACTGGAAGTATACTTCCTAGAGAAATTCTGGTTAACCTTGCATCATTAATACAGTAGTATTTTATGATTCAGACCTCAGTAACTCTCTAGTTAATTTGGCTAAAATTAAGACAAAGATTCAGCATCATTTTATAAGCACAGTATAAAAATCCAAATCACAAAGCCTCATTCTTTTGAATACGAGGTCATTTTACTATCAGAACCTATCCCAATTTTGCCCAAAGGTCATAAATATTAACATTTGTGGTTTTGTCATCCACATATGCCCATGACCTACCCCCTGCAAATAGCAAGGTCTGCTCTACTGTCTACTAAAATATCATTCAATTACCTTAAAGCTTCAATACATCGACTGAGCACCAGAAGTGAAGTGTTTATGTTACCAGCTTCTTTCAGGCGATCCTGATTACTTAGAGTTTTTCCAGCCCGCTCTGTGCCGGCAAGATCACAAACAGAGAGCCTGGAAACAATAAAATAATGCCTAAAAATTATGCTCCTTTTTTCCACATTCATACTTTTTTTTTTTTAACCAAGACTAGGGTTCAAGGGACACTTAATTGACATGCCTAGTGCAACTGCAAGCAAGAGCTGTTATCCTACCACAGCACATCTGAAGCCTGCTCCTAGACTCATTTATTTCATGAGAATGTACTTTTGAAACTATCACATAGGGAACTACCATACAAGGAACCTGGTGAACTGCTTGTGCTCTTCAACTAACATTTCTATGTCTCCCTCATATATACAACCCCCCCCTCCTACACTCCCTCATATATACTATATACAACCCTCCCTCCTACACTCTCCCTCATATATACTATATACAACCCTCCCTCCTACACTCTCCCTCATATATACTACTGTATATACAACCCTCCCTCCTACACTCTCCCTCATATATACTATATACAACCCTCCCTCCTACACTCCCTCATATATACTATATACAACCCTCCCTCCTACACTCTCCCTCATATATACTATATACAACCCTCCCTCCTACACTCTCCCTCATATATACTATATACAACCCTCCCTCCTACACTCTCCCTCATATATACTATATACAACCCTCCCTCATATATACTATATACAACCCTCCCTCCTACACTCTCCCTCATATATACTATATACAACCTTCCCTCCTACACTCTCCCTCATATATACTATATACAACCCCCCCTCCTACACTCCCTCATATATACTATATACAACCCTCCCTCCTACACTCTCCCTCATATATACTATATACAACCTTCCCTCCTACACTCTCCCTCATATATACTATATACAACCCCCCCCTCCTACACTCCCTCATATATACTATATACAACCCTCCCTCCTACACTCTCCCTCATATATACTACTGTATATACAACCCTCCCTCCTACACTCTCCCTCATATATACTATATACAACCCTCCCTCCTACACTCTCCCTCATATATACTATATACAACCCTCCCTCCTACACTCTCCCTCATATATACTATATACAACCCTCCCTCCTACACTCCCTCATAATATTATATATATATATATATATATATATATATATATATATATATATATATATATATATATATATATATATATATATATATATATATAACCTCCACCCCCTCATACACTCTCACCCTCTTATATACTGTATACAACCCCCCCCCCCTCCTACACTCGTTCTGCTCTATAACTTCTGCACACTAACAAGAATGAATAACAGCAGTGATGAAACACTTACATTGAAACTCTTGCAACATGAGGACTGTCTGCATTGGCCAACTTTATCATTTTAATTGTAAAAATACAGTGTGACCGAGAAGAGTTATGATTGAGGCGAGTCGCAGCAAAATGAAGGTTCTGCCGGCCGACCTCTAACAGTCTCCACGCTTCCTCAGCACTTCGTACACGTACCTCCTGCAACCCTGGGATTAACAAACAATTAGATGAACTAGATCCCTAGCATAGGCTCGTATCTACTGAAAACATGTGGAACGATGGATTACACAAATTCAATTCAAGAAAACTATTATAAACTATTTATGCTTCAAACAATTTGAAGTCTTTTTGAGAAGTGTGATTGGAAAATTATAATAAAGTGGACCCCCCATTATTTTGACATGGCAATTCCTTATATATATATCACCTCCACTAAATGGAACACATCTGGTTGACGGGAGTTAACCTCTCTATATACACGAAGTCTCACATAGCAGTCTGGTAGTGAAGGACACATTTATACAAAAGCTAATTAGTTTCCTGCATACATATTGGTGCCTTCCTCTTAAAACACCATTACAGATAAACCAAACACCACACACAAAATTAAATAAAAATGATGTTTTTGTCTCTTCTGTTATGAGAACAAGCTGTTGTTTTGGCTTCTGTATTATTTGTTACTGTTTAAGACATCTTTGGTGTTTACTTTCTACATTACCAAATTGAATATGCAGGGGAATTAACCCTTAAACTGCACCAATACCCTGGTTTGGTAATTTACAATTACAATTTGTTTTAATAACTGGAAGATGTGTATGCAAAGGTAAGGAAAATACCAACAAAATTTCACAGTATGCACATCATTTAACCTTGTGTTGACCTGATGAAGCATGGGCTTCTGTCAGCATCGTGTGTTTGGTATAGATCATGACAGTTCGTAAGTGACCAAGAGGTGAAGTGTGTACATCTCCCATTATAGTGGTTTGATAATACAGAACATGACATTTTGTGGCGGCCTACCATGACTGCCAAGCAATGCAACACACATTTACAGGCACCTTAGCATTCAAACAGTGGCACATAAAATATTTATGACAATCACCATATTGCCCAATACATAAAACTTACACCTTACAGTTAATGAAGGAATTAGTGATGCAAAGTATTAGCATTTGTCTTCAAGGCATATAGTTTCAGGTTGGACTTAAGGTTTATCAACCTCTTGAAGGCCATCACAAGAGCTTTCTGACAACCAGCAAATATACTTTACTACCTGTTGAAGCTTCTGATTGCTCAATATACCCACTGCCTGGTCTCTGACCAGGCCTCCTGTTTGCTTGTCTGATTAATCAGGCTGTTTGATGCGGCTGCTCGCAGCCAGATATACAAGCCACAGCCTGGTTGATCAGGTTTCCTTTCAAGATGCTTGTCAAGTTCTCTGTTGAATACTGCAAGCGTGTTATGACCCCCCAGGTAGCCTCATGAGAGAGGTCTGCCTCACAGTAAGAGTTATTCCCCACCAGACCATAGTGAGGAGTCAGGGAATTAAAAAGTTCAAGCAACCGTCATTGTATGCGACCAAGGAGAATATAAATTACGGTTGAACATCTTTGATAAAATTAGGAGGCGAGAGGTCAACTGCATGTGACCTGCCATGTGAAAAATAACGTCATTGCAGGAGCATGTTGTGTACAAAGGTCTTAGGACGTCACTTGTCGTGAGAAAGTCTGAAGCGAAGGACGCACATCGACGCTCATGAGGAAGAAAGATATTTGTGGCTTATGGAGAAGAATTTGTGAAAAGTTTCGTAAGTGAAGCACGAGGAAGTTGTGGGAGGGCGATTTGGTGATATCTCTTAAATGGTGGCAACAAGTAAGGGCAACCCGAAGCCAGTTGGGTGGTCGTGCCCTGAGGAACCACGGTGGCAAATCCTACATGAGGATTGAGTGGGCAGGTGTACCCAATTGGCACCTATCCCATGACCTTTCTCACACAAGTCAAGATTGAGAGGAGCCAATTAGTGGCAGTCAAAAGAAAATTGTGTGGGCGACTTAGCAGAGCACCAAATTTGGATGTCGTGTGCCGAGCGTCGCTATCACCATATTTTGCAGCAAGAGCTTGGTATATTGCCACATGTTGCTTCATGCAGTGAAATCATGTGTCAAGTTAGAAAATCTGGGCATATCGTATATGCTCATTTCGTATTTAAAATCATATTTAATCATATTTAAGTTCATTATTGGGTGACTCCAGTGTGTGCTCCACTCGTATTAGTAGTAGAGGTGGTGATTTTTTTTTTTTTTTTAGTTTATTTTATCGGCGGCTCCCTGACGAGGTGAAAGCCCATAGTAAAAATTGGCGACACCTGAGTGAGTTCAGGGGGCCCCTGATAGAGGTGTCGGGCAGTTATGACCCCGTTTGTGTAAGGGAAGTGTTGAAAAGTCTTAGGCCTTTGATGTTGATCAAGTTTTCTCTCAGCATGCCTATTGTGCCTCTGCTCTTCAGTGGGGCTATTTTACTCATCATTTACTTTAATTTATTTAATTTTTAATTTATATCGCTCACAAGAGCACTAATGTCTTAAATTATCATTGGCGTGGCATCTCTTATTCGTGGCTTCTTATTATCCAACCTGTCATTTTTCTTGCTGTTGTTACCACAACTTTGTTGTTTTTTAAAAGTAAAGGTCTTCTGACATGATTACTCCTATAACTTTTATGTTGCTTTTCCTTCAAAATCATGATTTGACTGTAGTGTTCCATGATGGAAAAGTCACAGATGAAAGATGAACCAGCAACCCATAAATTTTGTCAACAAAATAAAAACTTATAGGCAGCACTTACCTTTAATATAAATAGAACCATTCCGATCCTCTCCCAGGACAAGGGGATTCCGTTTGTTTTTCTTAGAAGTTGGCATTTTCTCTAGGAGGTCATATATGTATTCATTGTAGATCTCAGCAAATGACACAAAGATAGCATACTTCATACTTTCAGTATCTCCCAAATCCAAACTTGTGCTGTCATGATACTGACTCTCCATACCAGAAGATGCTGAAAATATTACAAACGCGACACTTTGAAGTACATGTACAACATTAATTAAAGCTCAGTATGTAAATATATTAAATATATTAATATAATATACTGTATTAATATAATATATTAATATATATATTAAAGCCCCCAAGTTTCAGTCACATTAACCCTTAAGCTGCTAACTTAATAGCTGATATCCCCCATGTGCTCAAGACAAAAATCGTTCCAAAATTTTTTTTCCCCCAAGACATTGTTAATTAGCCTTCAGGAGGCACAAAACTCCAAATAAGAAGTCTCTAGCTCTTGTGGTTTAGCTGTAGTGGCCTGGAGAAGTTGCATACCTGCATTTTTAGGTGAGGTGCTCTATGGGAATAACTTTGTTGATTTATTTTAATTGATTCTCACTTTACTTATTTAGTTTTTCATGCTAACAGGTTGTATTTGTGTCAAAGATACTGTCTATTATGTATAACAATGAAAATATATGTATGGATATACGAGTATAGATATTCAAACATCCACATACTTATTCATAATAATATATGAATACCAGTATATATATGTTATAAGCCTAAATCTTAAAATTGCATATAGCACACATTTTGCCTCAAATATATACATGGTAATCACTCATTTATTGCTAAAGATTTAGTCTCCTCTATGACTGCCCTAAACATTCAGACCCATGGATGGTGATGTTGCCAAGCAATGGTCATCATTTTCTTACTAAGGCCCTAGAAGGAAAGTGAGGGACTTGAGATTTTTTTCAAGATGGGGGATGGTTACTGGTGACCTGAGGAAGCAAATGTGAGCCCTATGTATGTGCAGGACTATTTTAAATATTTTAAATATGCAAATCGTATATATATAATGTGCGCCTATCCGTAACAGTACTCCAATCGCCTATGTATGTTTTGCACAACTTAAGGGTTAATATGTAACACAGTTTAAAATTTCAGCTGTCTGAGCTAACTGCAAGTAAGCCAAAACTCCTAGGTTATGCAAAACGACCACGGTACATACCTGGAGTGGGTTTCGGGAGTAGTTCTACTCCCCGAACCCAGCCTGAGGTCAAGCTCGACCAAAACCAGGTGTGCCAGTGCAACAATAACCTAACATACAATCCCTTAGAATAATAATGTTCTAGCAAAACAAATCTAAACGCTACCAGTCTACATGACTATCAAAACAATGTACCTACCTCTGCTCACTTCATTAAAGGGCTGAGACATCCTGCTTATTTCAGTCAACTGATGAGAGGAGTTAAGGCTGTCATCACTTGTAGACAACTTTGACAGACTCTGAAATTAATAAGACCAGTATATCTTACATTAAACTAATTGCATGTTCTTGACCAATATAAATCAAGTGGCAGGTTTAAGGAAAATTATGTTTTCGAAAAATCGGCGTTGAATGTAATGAAACGCCAGTTACTGGGTGAGCCCCGAAGGGTCCCTGAAGCCATCTTACTGATAAAGTGCCATACTACTATAGTGTCATCAATTGCAGAGTTCTTTGTAAACCTACCAGGGACCACAAGTAGAAACCCCCACCCCCCCTCAGACACAAAGAGAGCAATGGCCCATGAACACTTTACATTTAAAGTAGATCATCTTGCCATCTACCAGGGAAGACTCCCAGGAAGGTACGTGAATCAAAACAAACTACTGTACTGCCTAGTTGAAAAGTGTGACCTACATCCCCACAAGCGCAAAAGAACTCCCAAGAAAGCAAACAAACAAGCAAAACCTCGTCCAATTAAACGGCGGCTCATTAGCTCCACCTCCAGCAGAGGGAAGGGGGGGGGGTTATCTTGAGATGATTTCAGGGCTTTAGTGTCCCCGCGGCCCGGTCCTCGACCAGGCCTCCACCCCCAGGAAGCAGCCTGTGACAGCTGACTAACACCCAGGTACCTATTTTACTGCTAGGTAACAGGGGCATAGGGTGAAAGAAACTCTGCCCATTGTTTCTCGCCGGCGCCCAGGATCGAACCCGGGACCACAGGATCACAAGTCCAGCGTGCTCTCCGCTCGGCCAACCGGCCGGGGACGGGGTGCCAGCCTGGGTAAGTCAGGCCACCACCATTCAGTTCTTTGAATGATGAAAACTGCCGACTGGAAGGAAGAGAGTGTCAGGGAGCATCCGGGGCTCACCCAGAAACTGGCTTTCCATTACACACAAAGCTGGTTTTCTGTGGGGAGCCCCAGTGGCACCCTGAAGCTAACAACACACAGAAAGAAAACGGGGAAGAACCCGAGAGGCAGCAGCCCCCACAAAGCACATCCTGACAAATACAGCCGGCCACTACAAAAGCCCCAAAGCAACACAAAGCAGCATAGGGCCCAGGACAGTCATGAAACCCCCGGAGGTCAGGATCGTGACTAACACTGCCATTGTTTGGTGCATCTAAAGCAGCACAACCTCGTGCTCCTTTAGAAATTAAACGTGAGCAAAATGATTAATATGGTAGATTTGATAACTAGGAAGCTGAGCTTCCTAGCTCAGCTCCTAATAGCAAGTGTGTGCCTGGAGTTAGCGAAGGGTGTGTTATACTGGAGGCATTGTGTCAAGTCAGGTGGCGTTGTCAGGCGACCACCAAGCTGATGCTACGCTGAGTACGTGGGCCCATCTCACCAGCTTAGTGGTTCGTTATGGTGCACAAAAATGTAGGTAGATATATATACTGTATGTATGTTGTATCTAATAGCCAGACTGCCCTATTTGGCCTTCTATGCAAGACCCAATTTGCCTAATAAGTCAAGTTTTCCTGAAGTTATATATTTTTCTAAATTTATTTCTTATAAGAAATATATAACATAGAAATATGATCAAACATAACCTAACCTACCTTAACCTAACCTAAACTAACATATCTAAGTCGGTAATTCATGTTCTTAATATAATAATATTAATTCAAATACTGTAAACCATTTGGAAACAATTTTTTTTTTTAATAAAAATCAATCTGCCTATTAGGCAAATCGGTCTTGCACACTAAGCCAAGCAGTGCATTCTGGCTATTAGGTTTATCCAAAAGGCAAATCTTGAACCCCAATAAAAGGCAGAGAGCAGAGGATACACGATCACCCTCACCAAGTATTCAAGCCCCAAGGAAGAAGCCAAGTAAAACAGACAACAGCAAGGGTCAAATAAGAGCAAACAAAGCAAAATGCCTCAAATTATCCACACAGTACTTAGGTCACACCTGCCCTAGTTATTGCTGCTCACCACCAGACAGTAGCACCACTGGAGCTGCTGGCTCCATGTCAACAAGCCTTCAGCCATAAGCCAAACAAAGGCCAAACTGACGAACCAGGGAGGGAGGCCCTCCCAGCGAGAGGCATTTCATTGGATTCAATGTTGATTTTCTGGAGGCAGAATGGTGGCTCCCTGTTGCTAATTAACCACAGAGAAAAGCTAAAATGAGAGCCACCAGGGACAGAGAACGAAAGACCAAACCTCTGAACTATAGACCCAGATCAAACAATGCATCGCCAATGGCAGCGAACAGGTCGAGATAGACAACCGATACTGGACATCAAATGATGCATCCCCGGAAGAACAAACCACATATTAATGACTAAAGGACCAGTTTGGAAGGCACATTACCATTGTGGACTGAGAAAATGTAGAACTAAGCTCAGAGCCAATCTTGAAAATTTTATCTTTCCTCTCTTCTTCTCTCTGAATATCTCTCTCATCCAGGCGCATGATGCTACAAAAATATTGGGGCTTCAAGTCATTTTTCTGGTACTGATGTTCTCCTACTGTGTTGAAGACTACGTCCAAAGTTCGTGGCAGAATTCCTTGGTCAGTAGGAGTACCTGCCGGTGGAGATAAATATAGCAATTAATTTGCAACATCTATTTAATCAATATTCCTTATCACTATCCACATGATTTAAGAGCCCCAGTTCTATGCTTAGTAACCAGAATCAAATACAGCCAGCCCCCGTTCAAGTTAGCTGAATTTCTTACCAAGAATGTCCAATAATTAATTCACAGTTTTTTATACATCCCAGTTACCCCTGCTATTTATCCACACACATTCATCATTTACCTGCTTACTCCTGCCATTTATTCAGAAATGATGAACCATCAAAAATTATGGTAATCCAATTCATTTAGATTACCAAGCTCTTACAGAATATTTATTTTAAAATATTAGCTTAAAGATTCTCTACATTTCTATTTTAAATACATAGAACTAACCAATTTCAATTTGTTAACAACAGAATACAGAGTACCCTTACAAAAATGAATTACATGTACATTAGGATATACACGTAATCGACTTGCGAATGGTCCAGGACGGACCGAAACGTCGTCGTCTCTTCACTTTCTAGTGTATGGTTTGTTCAATACATGTATATTATAATGGAATGCTTGGTGGAGTGGAAACAATCGACTAGCGAAACAAATCTTAATTCAAGGTTATACGGTATGCAGTCCAAGCCATCATGCTTGGATAAGCTCAAATGTCTTAGGACTGTACCTGTATATTACATGTGTTATAATATTTTATTATTCCTTTTATTCTTCTTCACTAAGAATAAAACACATTTGCTTTCTACACCTATCCTAATCCATTTAACCTCTTGGTAAAACAATAGATGCCGGATCAACAAAAGAACTTAGAATGCAACAACAAACCTCAGTCCACATCAGTAGTTAAAAAGTTTCCATGTTATGTAATGTTTTATGAGGTTCTCTGACTCCCATAATAGATCCTCAACCTGGTAAATGCTTCCTTCAAACTATCAAACATGCACACACCTAAAACCTATTTATACAATTTAATTTTTACATATTTAAAGTTCTGTATGTTATTTTGAATGTTGTAATATGTTGTGTACAATAAATATATACTGGATACTGTATGTTAAAGTCCATTCAAGTCAATTTACAAACCTGGAAAAACCTTTCTTGTGTGTGAAAATTTTTAAATAGTCTTGTTCCAAACTTTTTCATTATTTGTCCTAAAATAACCAAAGGAAAATATGAAAAGACCATACCTTTCCCAATTAAAAAGGTAGAAAAAAGTTAAAAAAAAAAATAAAAAAAATAAGTAAACAAAAAAACAACGAAGTAGCACAAATTATAAAGAATTTATAGGTTTTCTAGTAACTTGTTACTGAAACATACACAAATTTATTACTAAGTGTGATTATTTGTTGCATTTAATATATTATATACATCTGGAACACTTATGCCTTGATATTGACTTGTTTAAAAAAAAAAATTATCTAATGACAGTTAAAATCTATTTAATTTTTACTACCTAAAAACTGTTTAATGATTTTTCATGGTACAGTATATATGTAAATACTACATTAGTGATTAGACATGTAAAACCATAATAGAATAACAAAACTTTTATGATTAAGATTATTGGTGATATTTATTGAACATCTTGGAAACACACAGTACTTTGGATTAGGTTACTATAGAAAGTGAAGACAAGTTTTGGGGGGTTTGGTTTAGTGGCACAGCTGCACTAGATATATATTATACAATATTTAAATTAAAAATTTTTGCTTTTTTGGGGATGCATTTTCATGCTCCTCTTTACTCGATTTTGAATTATTCTACTTCTCTGGTGGTTGCCTGGTCCGAGCTGCTGTTTATCTTCTTATCCCAGAGGCTTACATAACTTACATCCTGGCTGTTCCAGTAATCCCCAACAGAAACTTGTTCAGTTCTCACTTAAAAACTTCCACTATTGTTCCAGCAACCTTATTAACTTTTGTTGACACAAGATTGAAGTGGTGGGCCTCTGATGTTCACAATGTGATGTTCACAGAGGTGGGCCTCTGTGCGTATGGCACTCCAACTTTTCATTAGATTTATTTTGCACTTTCTACAGTATCTCTTACTCAATTGCAAAAGGGGGCAGCCTCCTGGGCCCTTACCAGGAGGGTGGGAAGGTGGGGTGAAGAGGTCATGCAAACTGCCCCTGGTGGCCCCAGGCCCCTAGAAAATGACTAGATATGAGTGTGTAAATGGTGACACCTAGGATATATAGTGCCCCACCTCTACACATAAAAAGACGAAAATGCAGAACACCTTATTTGGAGAGTCCTAGCTTGACCAAGGCTAACAAAGTAAAGACCCAGCAAGCCCTGAACTGCAAAACTGTTTCCTGCCAAAAGGGGTTGGGCCATCAAACAACAACACACCAAACACTAACAACAAAAACACTCTCTTACCAGCCTAGAGACTGGCAGAGACAAAAAAGGTGGCCAACATCAAACACAAAGCAGTGAAACAGCCAGAGAAGCCAGACTCAGATGGAAGACCCATAACTTTACCCAGAAACACAACATAGCAGATAGCGGTACACAAGAAGCTGGTCCAGTAAACACCCATACACACCATAAAGCAAACCATTAAGCATGAAAACTTCAGTGCTGAGATAATAAAAGATAACCTATGTACAAAATTATCTTAATGGCCACCACGTAGCCAAGGTCAGGGTTGGGTAGACACTAGGGTTGCCAGTCCTGCCGACAATGTTATAATGGCAGATGCTGCCACCTAATGGTGGCATACTTGTTTCCAATTATTACCTTCCATGTGTTGAGAGTAATGCTCACTTGGGTATTACAATACATTAATGGGCTCAGCAGTGGTGGCTGAAACTGAACTCTCCATTGTCTTTTCCTATATTATCTTTATAAGATATTTGGCAAAATTTTCTAGTCATGGTTGGAGACACAGTAAGGTCAATGCGAGCCAAGTAGATGGAACGAGTCCCGGGTGGACCATAATAATTGCCTTAGAAAATATTCAAAGGGCCTCAGCTCAGACATATATAGGTACAGTATATATATATATCCATATCTATGAGTAATATACTAAAGTTAATCTATGTAAGCTTACAATATAAACACTTATTAAAAGAAATGAATGGCAAATGAAATAGGATGAATAGGTAGATTGGTGGAATGATGGCTAAATAAAATACTGCAAATGTGCTGGGCTAATGCTCCAAGGTACAAATAGAAGTTAGGGACAGAAATTTGTAGCCCAATAGACTTACCTTGTACGGTGTACGTTTTGCCAGAATTGGTGGCTCCATATGTGAAAAGCAAGCAGTTCTGGCCACTAATAAAATCCTTAACCAAACCCAAAGTTGCATTATCAAACAATTCTTTCTGGGTTGTGGAGGGTCCATATATATGGGAAAAGGTGAACCTGGAAAATTAACTTTTTTTAATTATGCCTCTGCACAACAGAAAAATTTTAACATATAAAATAAAAACTTATACAGTAAATGCCATATTCATTGAAGTCAAACAAATTTCTAAATTGCCTTTATTCACTTTTTGACAAAAATATTTGTAAATATATACTCTACTTACTTTTGGCTAAGTTTTGCAATGCCATGGTTGCTATTTTTGAAGGTATTGGAGGAAGCAGGGGCAGTAAGTATAATGCTGTGCTTATCCAGAATATCAATATGAATATCCTGAAAACAAATGTATTTCATTATGCCAAAGAATATTAGAGCATTACTGATTACACAAATTTGTAATACTGAATATAAGGAGAGTAATACTGAATAAGGAGAGAAAAAGAATGGGCACGAAAGGAATTATAAGGAGAAAGCACCAAGGCATTACGACTATAGCGCACTTGGAAGGGATCAGGATAAGGACTTGCGATGGGATGAGGGAAAGGAATGGTACCCAACCACTTGGATGGTCGAGGATTGAATGCCGACCTGCATGAAGAGAGACCATCGCTCTACCAACCATTCCAAGTGGTTAGGCAGAATGAGTATGAGTAATGGGTAGATTCTCTTGGGCTGAAGAAATAATTTAAAACGAACTTCTGACACTATTATGAGGTTTTTTTAACACCAGATCATCACTGGAAATCTTAGATTGAAGAAAGAAGGGGAGTAGCAATATATCTTTGAAAACTTCAACCATAACATCAATGAGGGGATCAAAACTGAGCCCCACATGGAAATTATTTGGTTAGACAAATGAAAATAATATTAAGTAACAATAATTACATACAGGCCACCAAACAACAGATTGGAAGCAAACCATATATGGGATGAAATATCTAGAGTATCATGGTAAAACAGTATTTGTGTCATGACTAAATTTAATCAAATCAATTTAAGTAACTAAATTGCAAATGTTGAAGCAGACTTTTTATTTTTAAGAGTTGGTTGACGAACAAAAAACATAATAAGGACATTATGATATTTAAGGACTTCCTGAAACAATAAACATGAACTGGCCGTTCATGTTTAACAAATTTGTTATCTTTTTATTCTAGCATTGTTGAGGCAGTTGATAGTGGTAAGGATTGCGATGTTGTATACCTTGACTTTAGCAAAGCTTTTGATACAGTGCCACATGAAAGACTGATTAAAAAAATAGAGTCTCATGGTATTGGGGGTGCTATATTAAGCTGGATTAGGGCATGGCTATACCAAAGGAAACAGAGAGTTAGTATAAATGGAATCAAGTCAGAGTGGGAAAATGTTGTAAGTGGAGTGCCTCAAGGCTCTGTCCTGGGACCTCTGTTGTTTATAATATATATAAATGATTTAGATTCAGGTTTGAGTAGCAACATTTGCAAATTTGCCGATGATACGAAAATCGGTAGGGAAATTAATTCGGAGGAGGACTCACTATCACTTCAAGTTGATCTAGATAGGGTTTTGAAATGGTCAAAGGATTGGCAGATGCAGTTTAATGCTGATAAATGTAAAGTTCTGAGGTTAGGTAATGATGATAGAGTTACAAGATACGAGCTAGATGGTGTTGTGATTGCGAAGTCGGATTGCGAAAGGGATCTGGGAGTTATGAGTAGTAAGAATTTAAAACAAAAGGATCAATGCATAAATGTTCGTAATAAGGCAAATCGGACACTTGGATTTATTAATCGCAGCGTTAGTAACAAGACACCTGGTGTGGTTCTCAAGCTATATCTTGCTCTAGTTAGGCCCCATTTAGATTATGCAGTTCAGTTTTGGTCGCCATATTATAGAATGGATATAAATTCACTTGAACGTGTCCAGCGTAGGATGACTAAGTTAATTCCCCATATTAGAAATCTTTCATATGAAGAAAGATTAACAAAGCTTAAGTTGCATTCACTGGAAAGGCGAAGAGTTAGGGGTGACATGATAGAGGTTTACAAGTGGATGAATGGACATAACCGGGGGGATATTAATAGGGTATTAAAAGTATCAACACAGGACAGAACACGAAACAATGGATATAAATTGGATAAGTTTAGATTTAGGAAAGACTTGGGTAAATACTGGTTCAGTAACAGGGTTGTTGATTTGTGGAACCAATTGCCGCGTAACATTGTGGAGGTGGGGTCCCTCGATTGTTTCAAGCACGGGTTGGACAAGTATATGAGTGGGATTGGGTGGTTATAGAATAGGAGCTGCCTCGTATGGGCCAATAGGCCTTCTGCAGTTACCTTTGTTCTTATGTTCTTATGTTCTTAATATAATAAGGAACCAAAATGGGAAAATATTTGAGACAGTATCACCAAAACGGGAGAGAAATAAACAACACAGAAACAGGGACCGGGTTACGGAACAGTGATCACGAAAAAATCAGATTTTACATAGCATGGAAAAGTTATGCAATAGAAATCTATTTTGATACTGGACTTCCAAAATGTTTATTTTTAAAAATTAAAAGTTTCTTGAAAAGGATAGATTGGGTAGACCTAAACATACATGGTGGGCTCTTCTTGGGACATGATGGGGATAGCAGCAGGTGATGTGACAGGGATTATAATAGATTTAAATTACAATTTGTTTAAAATATACTGTATTCTTAATATGGCCCACAAACATAGTATACCAGATAGATTGATTAGGTCTAATAACCCTAAATTGATAACCATAGGACTAAAGAAGATTATTGGTAAAAAAAACAGCAATGAATGCAACGAAATGCCTCTTTCTGGTAGAGCCCCAGTGGTCCCCCGAGCTATCTTGCCGAGATTGCTCCTAGTTACTAGGTCAGTCGCAGTTCAGTTCTCTGGGGACCAGAGCCAGAATCTGGCCTTCACAGAGGCACAGTGTGCAACAGTCTAGCACCCCACCAATAAAGCATCAAGAGTGTCAGCAAAGCACTACAGACAATAGCAAGGTTCACAAAAAATGAAACCTTGAAACCATCAAACAACTTTCCCATATAATTAAAAGACCATCATTGAATGTAATGAAACGCCATTTTCTGGGCAAGACCCTTCGGCTCCCCGGAGCTATCCAGGCTGATATGTATCTAGTAGCTTTCTGGCATCAGTCAAAGTGCATGGAGTTCTTGCCTACCAGGGACCACGAGCCAGAACCTGGCCCCGTCAGACAAGCAGAAGGAGCAATGGCCTATAAAAAAAAAAAAAGTGTAGTTGGGAGCATTTTACGTCTGCCATCGACCGGGTCTGGCACCCAGAGAGATAGGCGCCCCAAAACAAACCCCCTATTCTGGTGAAAATATTGTTACCAAAAGTCAAACGATTGGACAGAACTCCCCAAATAAAAATTAACAAACGAGCATGACGTCATCACGTTGCCGTTGTATATAGTGATCATATCACCTTTTCCTCCTACCTTTTGCTTTGGCATATATAACATCTCTACTTTCGTTTTTCAGTTCCAGAAGCCATGTCGTAGCAAGTTTTTGCAACTTTTTCAGTTTATTGATGTGTTTCTCAAGATATGGGCCCCATAAAAGAGTTGTATATTCCAATTTATTCTCACAAATGTCTTGAAGTTTCTTTAATATTTCACCATGTACTTAAAAGCAATTCTGTACTTGGAAAGCATAGCATATGCTCCTTGCACAATATCCTTTGTGGTCCTCTGGTGGCAGTCTACTGTTCAGAACCACCCCTAGACATTACACACAAATCACAATAGCGTGATGCATCGTATGAACAAATCCACAAGGGCCATGATGAGGGTTCGAACCTACGTCCGAGAGGATCCCAGACGCGCCTTAATCAACTATGCCACAACACGGTCAAAGAATTGCAACCGAAAGTTCATCTACCCTCACACGGATCCTGCAGTCTCTCTGAAACACAAACCAGGGTTTTACACAATTTTCCCGTGCACCTGGGCTCGGTCAATAAGCTCGGGTGCACGGGGAAATTGTGTAAAACCCTGGTTTGTGTCTTGGAGAGACTGCAGGATCCGTGTGAGGGCAGATGAACTCCCGGTTGTAATTCTTTGACCGTTTATTGACAGTCGATTAAGGTGCGTCTGGGATCCTCTCGGGCGTAGGTTCGAACCTTCATCAAGGCCCTTGTGGATTTGTTCACCCCTAGACATTTTTCATTGGTTATCTTGAGATGATTTCGGGGCTTAGCGTCCTTGTGGCCCGGTCCTCAACCAGGCCTCCTTTTTGTTACACCCCCCAGGAAGCAGGCCATAGCAGCTGTCTAACTCCCAGGTACCTATTTACTGCTAGGTAACAGGGGCATCAGGGTAAAAGAAACATTTTGCCCATTTGTCTCCGCCTCCAACGGGGATCGAACCCGGAACCTCAGGACTATGAATCTGAAGCCCTATCCACCCAGCTGTGAGGCACCTATGTGGTGAAGTTCTTTACTGCCTTTCCACATAATTTGAAGGTTATGTGGCACTTATTTTTTCTCATTCCACATTCCATAACATGACATTTGCTGACATTGAATTCCATTTGCCATGTGTTGCTCAATACACTTATTCTGTTCAGTTCATCTTGAAGGGCATGACAATTCTCTCTTCTCTTTCCTAGTAGATTAGCATCATCAGCAAACGTATTCATATAGTTCGGTATTCATCCTGGTGTGTGGAGCCCAGCCCAGTAAATTAACTGTCTGGTATCATCACAAGTGTATGACTAGGAAAACTACCCTGGGACCTGTTGACCAAACAACACACTAGGAAGTGATGAGACAACGACGTTTCGGTCAGTCCTGAACCATTATCAAGTCGATTGTGATACCCTGGGGCCTTTCTGAATTTACCTGAATTTACCCGAGGCCCATTAACACTAGTGGCCTCGACGAGGACAGGATGCCAGACGCTTGTTGGAGATCCCCCCATATGCCTTGTAAGATAAGGAGAGTAAGATTTGCCTTGCCTTGTAAGATTTCTCAGGAGAATGTCCATAAGGTATCCCTAGCAAGGAAAAAAGGTATCCCTAGCAAGGAAAAATAATTATTAAATAAAATATAACAAGCCATGTACCTCATCATTACACGTTTCCTCTGGAAGATTTGGACGCACCCTCAAATATACCTTCAGGGTCTCTACGTCAACATCCTCAATAGGTATGGACTGGAATACATTATTTAAATTCTTGCAAGGGTTAAAATTATTTTCTTGATCCACAGTGTAACTGAAAAAGGCAATTATGAAAAATAAGTTTTAGAAAAATGTCACTACAGGTATTGTAGTCTTCATATTGCAATGTTTAGAATTCCACAGCAAACACCAAATATCCCGCAGCTTACTCATTATCAACAGCATGAAGGTACGAGAGGCGGTCATCCATACGATTCATTTTCCTCGCTTGCAAACATGAAAATTTAGTCTCCCTGAAACATGAATGATTTGATTAATTACTAATATCAACATTATGGAACTCATGCTGTAGAGGAACATTTAGAACAAATATCTTTGAACTAAACAAAACTAAGCATTTTTTTATAAAACAATTAACTTATTTGTTTATTGCAACCAACTGAAGAAAGCCCCAATGGTTCCCTATGTCTGTAATGTCAGTAATATCCCTTTTCTGTTAAAAAAATAGGAAATACTACTGTACAGTATATTCATTAACAAGCACTTATGACACACTTGGGTACAGTATGTTCTCACAAACCCAAGGACCCCAACTATCATCAATCAATCCCAGTCCTCAAAATATATGCTTGAAGGACCTTGTGGATGTTGGGTACGAGTGTGGCTTTACTGTGCCATGTTTGACTGGACAATGTCCCTCATGAAGTTAGCGAGCGCGGCCCCAGCAAGGCACAGTGCCAGCACTCCCTACCCTGATGGATGAAACACTGGTCCGGTAAGGAAAAATGAGCCAAGATGCCTGAAGGTGTATACCTGGAGAGCACACCCAAAGTGTACTGTATACTGTACTGTACATATAATCATTCTACATACATCATTAACCAGAGTTACTGGCACTCATACTGCAAGATCACCCTCAAACATTCAGCTCCAGAAACATCACTTCATTTCCTGCAATGTTCCTGGTATGAGTGACAGGAATGTGGAATGCTTTAAACCAAGAGGATGTTGAAGCAAATTCCAGCCACAACTTTAACAATATGATGAAAACTGTCAACATTGAGTCAGTTAGGAGGCCAGATATACACAGTACAGAGGCGGTTCACGGAGCTAGAGCTCACTCCCCCGTAGTCAGTGGTGGGCAAGCACACCAAGACACAGCTGGACATGTAGCACAAGAGGTGAGGAAAACTCTCACAATGTTAATTAGGTAGTTCTTTTTTTCTTTCTAAATTGGTCGAGAGAATTACAGTTTTTAATCTGGTTAAGAAGGCCCTTCCGCAGAGTGGAACACTGAGTCACTTGTACAGTGCGTCCTGATACATCAGCAAATATTGCACGTGTGTGAGAGTGCATGTAGCAGACTGCACATAGACATATAGGCCCAAGAGGCCTACGGTGACGAACTCCCTCACAACACTTCTCCCGCCAGATCACAACTAACACACACTTCCCCCATATTCCCCCCACGAGAGGAGCCCCTGGGGGCAACACGCACCACGGGGGTGACTGGAGGGCGTGGCGGGAGAGAGGAGGTACAGGAGGCCAGGAGGCAGGAGGAGCAGCGGCCGCCCAGGTTCAAACTGTGTGTGTGTGGACCAATGGGCGGCGGCGGCCCCTCAACACCCCGGCATATATGTACCGCCTTCACTCTCCCTCTACACCCTCCCCTCTACCCTCATACACACACCTACACCTATATTATTATTAACAAAATATTTTACGGGCGTTTACATGTGGTTGGTGTTATTTATTGGCACTTGTGGGAAATCAGCTGATTACCAACGTCAGTGTGTTTTGTTATTATTTTTTTTTTGTGCTTCAAACTTTGGAGAGTTGTGAGTGTGTTGTGTTGGTGGGTAGCTGGGTGCTTCCAGTGGTGTTGCTTCATGCTGGTGTTGTGTAGCAGTGTTTCTTGGGGAGTAGTAGATAACCTTGAGTGTGTGGTTAAGTGTATGGGTTGTTCCTGAGTGAGAGAGTAGCGGAGGTGGTGATCCCTCTCACTGGTGAGAGGGACCATCTCACCGCCGCTCACAATACCAGCCTCGCATACTCTCACTCCACATTATTTTGTTATTTTATTTGTATATACAAGATTTCTTATATTCTTGTAACGCCACTATCATGCGTAGCTTTTCAGGCAGGGCCTTAATCTTAATTTTCCATGGAATACGACCTGCCAAATCGTTTAACAACCAGGTACCCATTCACTGTTGGGTGAACAGAGGCTCCAGTTAAGCATGATGGCGCCGGCTCTCAGGTCCTCCACTCTGGCGGACCTCTGGACCTCTGGCGGTCCGTGGACCCCGCGTCCACGGACTGGTCATCATTCTCAACTTCTCGACACTGCCATCACTCGTCTCCAGATTGGTCACACCTGCCTGGCAGCACTTCTCCATCGTCTACGGCTGGCAGATTCTCCATACTGCCAGTGGTGTCCGACCCAAGATGGTACAGTGGAACACCTTCACTGCCCTCGATTTCATAGCGCTTGCGTCAGACTACAGAGTGCCGTTCGTAGGCTGAATTTTCCCTGCCTCACGGTTCCTGTCCTTCTTGACGGGGCAGGTGCGAGAGATGAAGTCGTCCGTTATGACATCTTTCTCCATACCTTCCACTTCATCCGTCATGTCTGTGGCCTGAAGAGACCGTAAAGTATGTGGCCTGAAGAGACTATAGGGACCCCATCCCTCTGCTATTTCCCGGTATCGGGCAGTCGGGGCGCATCCGATCCCACGATCGTCGTCGTCCCTAAATCAACAACAACAGTAGTTAAGGATTGGCGCCCAGTCAATCCTCCCCGGCCAGGATACAAACCCAGGCCAAAGCGCTCACAAAGAGCCGGGCGAGTGCTTTACCATTGTGACTACTTACAGTAGTGTACAGTACTTTATACTTGTGCTTCCTCCCACTCAGTTCTGTAATATTTCTTACAATAACCTTAATGCTGACCTGGTCCCAACACCAGCAGTTGAGACCTCGACAAGAACAGTCTCATAATGCCACTGTAAAGTATCAGGTTAGATAGATTAGTTTTTGTTCATTATGTTAATAATATCCTTCGCCATACCTTCTGCTTCATCCGTCATGTCCGTGGCCTTCGCCATACTGTGCCACAGCACTTCACCTCATACTGTCAATATAGCTGTCACTGTTAGTAACACCAAACTGGTAATTGTCAGCAAGCAAAAGTGTTGATTATTGGAGCTGTCAAGATGTTTACTGGGGCAGAGTTACAGTATTTGAATAATAAATTTTTTTAATAAAATACAGAAGATCAGATTGCAGGGATTGCTTAGTAGGAAAAGCATTTGTATTTCTATAAAGCCAGTAAATATATGCTTCAGGCATACCTAATAATGAGTACAACATAACTTTTTAGGCTAACGCTTAATACATTGTACATGCTGTAGTACAGTCGGGTTCATTCTCGACGCACAATTGAGAATTCTGGATTTGAGTCCTGGGCGGGACAGAAATGGTTGGGCACATTTCCTTTCACCTAATACCTCTTTTCACCTAGCAATGAGTAGGTACTCAGGAGTTAGTCAGCTTGTTGTGGGGTTGCATCCTGGGCAGGGTCAGTAATTTAGCATTGGGGGGGGGGGACCTCGATAAAAGCCAAACATGTATGAATACACTCTGGCTTTCTGTCCCCCGACACAATGAATTATATACAGTAGCTATTTTCCCCACGATGCCTATATTTTTGGGCTAGAATATAGAATGGTTGATTGTGTGCAGTCAAATGTAAAATGACCTATTGTCTAGTGGCATACAGTACATTTTAGAGAATGGACCAAGTTAGAGAAAGTGCAGCAATCACTTCGGAGTAATTTTTGTATTTTCTGTATGGGACACTTTATTTGGTGTATTATGGTTTGCCATTGTTGGGAACAGGAAGCTTGTTAGATTCATCAAGGTCCCCTAGGCCAACAATTGACTTTCCTCAGGATGCAACCCACAACAGTTGACTATCTCCTGGGTGTGTGCATATTTCTAGTTGAACAGTGGCATCTGGTGTAAGGAAACTTACCCAACCATCTTGTCCTGCTCATAAATTAATCCAGGACTATTAAGTTGAGCCAACTGCACTGACTACTACTCTACATACCAACAAATTTGACCTGAAACTCTATCCAATATAAAAATTACTCTTAGGTTAATGTGGGGGTTTTCTTTTTTGCTTTCACGACTGCAATGCGTACATCGCCAATGTACATGTGGCAGACGCTTCACGAAGCTGTCGGAATTAGCAGAATAGAAAATACGAGAGCAACCGTATAGGGCCTGGGAGCAAGGTCGAGTTAGAGTCATTGAGGGTCTCTTCTCGGTCTCTTCTCAGACTAGTCTCACCTGGTCCTGCTCCACGTTGATCGTTGGAATCTCCTCAATGATTTAACACTTTAAGGGACTCCTAGGGTCCTCATCACATTTATAGTTTAGTGAATATAAGCAACTCGGTGTTGAAGACACCTAGAGCTGAAGGCTTGAGTAATGTTGGCAGTATTCAGAAGTGGTTCAACGGAAACACCGCATAAAGCTTAACAGTAGTTTATTTACTAACTTAACCACTAATACACAGGGTGCTTGATTTACTTTAGATTGGCATCAGCAAAGCTATGGTTATATTAGTGAGACTCTTGACGTCTGGCTAATCTACTCGTATCCACTCGTGGAGAAACACCTAACTTAACACAGATGACAGCCAATCATTAACATGGCAACCTAACTGCCGGTATGCAAAGGGATCACAAGAGTTCCAACCAGATACTCGGTAATGATGATATGCAATAAATCAACAAATACACTGTCAATGGGACAGGCAATAACCTTCACAATAATGATATCACACAATAACTAAATGTGTGGTGTATGTGAAGGTCACATTCCCAGACTAGTGAAATGCCACACATATAAACACGCATACACCGTCGATTCACCTATGACCTGTGACAGGTATGAGAAGGTGAGAACTGTGGTTGATATCTCAGATCAACACAGACACAATAAAACAATGACAAGATCTTGTACTTACAGATAGGGTACCATTCCTTACTCACTCACTCACTCAGGCACATTTATACAAGCACTCATAGGTGGCCTGACAGCTGGTTTCGCTCGTAGACACGGAGGGTACTTGCAGTAGGGCGTGCTGTATGCTTAACAGACAGACACACGCACACACACTGGCACTGGCGATGAGTAAGGTGGTGACGTCATGTAGTAGTGAGGGCGGCAGCGGGCGCTCGAGATACCGAGGTACTGGGACGAGTAGCGGCTGGCGGCGGCTATGGTACCATGCAGGTACACTTGTGGTAAAGTCTCACACAGGTTACTTAGGCGGCTGCACTGCCTTAGTTCACTCTAAGTCACTCACAATGATCTTTGTCACCAGGGGTTACCTGATACCAGTCTGTTACGCTCTGGAGATTTGTCACTAGGCTTCTGAATAATATATTCACACTCGTGATTCTGGGCGAGTGTGTGGTATAATCTTCAGACGCTGAGTTAACTTGACGGTGAGGAATGGACGGTTGTTCAGTCTATTGGCCGATAGACAGAACAGTTACACGTCCTCTTTGCAAGAGATCCCTCACAAGAATGCTTTTGCCTGAAGCTCAGGGCATCTTGTTTGGCACACACAAGGGGATTACAATTTGACCAATAGCATTGCAGCAAATGGGCGGGAACCAATCATAGTAGCTAGTTCAATGAGCAGTAGCAGGAGTGACGTCATGAACACGTCACGACCACGTCATAGCTGTTATTCACCATCGCGCCGGTTGACCCCAGAGGTCAGACGGTCTGGCGTCTACCCTCTGTCTCTCACACGGACAACAGCACATGTACTCGCTGACCCTTTGGTGGCAAGTATGCTTAATTCCCTATATCTACTTCCTGCCTGGACATACGGCGGCCTCCATATTATGAAAGTGTTCCTGGTTAAGTGGGCATTCTGGAGATACCCAACATGCCAGGTCACTATCCAGGGTTAAGAGAGATAGGCGTGTGCTCGAAGATCAGTGCACTGTGCACTGCAATGAGCCATTCAAGTCAGCTGTGGGAGAATCTTGAGAGACACTCTCTCACAGTTAAATAAGGATTCATTATTCAGCATCAGGTTAACTCGTCACTTTGAGGTAGATGGTAGAGCAGCGGTGGTCTCGCTTCATGCAAGTCGACGTTCAATCCCCGACCATCCAAGTGGTTGGGCACCATTCCTTCCCTTCTGTCCCATCCCAAATCCTTATTCTGACCCCTTCTAAGTGCTATATAGTAATTACCTAAGTAATTACCTAAGTGTAGTTACAGGATGAGAGCTACGCTGGTGGTGTCCCGTCTTCCCAGCACTCTTTGTCATATAACGCTTTGAAACTACTGACGGTCTTGGCCTCCACCACCTTCTCCCCTAACTTGTTCCAACCGTCTACCACTCTGTTTGCGAAAGTGAATTTTCTTATATTTCTTCGACATCTGTGTTTAGCTGGTTTATATCTATGACCTCTTGTTCTTAAAGTTCCAGGTCTCAGGAAATCTTCCCTATCGATTTTATCAATTCCTGTTACTATTTTGTATGTAGTGA